TACGAAATACGAACGTGATGTAACACGAACTCACTAATTATTTGTTATTTATCTGAGTACGGGTGACATATTGAACAAATATGCATTAAAACCAACAATAATGACCCAATAATGCTAAAAATACAAAATACAATTTTTAGCTTTGTAGCACTCGTTACATTAAACGAATTACCTATGTACTTGGAAAGCATTGTCTAAGATCAACCAAAAAAAAAAATGCATTTTGCATTGAAATCTCCGCCCTATTCATAAGTTTTTAATGGCTGCTAACAATTTGTAAACACTTTCCAACGATGTCCAACAAACGTCCAACAAAAATATTGAATAGGTTTAATTGAATTCTGAGTGCTGCTGAGTTCACGAACGTGTTATAAAATAAAAAAATGAAAATAAAATATAAAAAAAACACACATCATTGTAAAATCAATACATTCATCGTTCCACTCAGAATCTAAAACCTTATAGGTACAGTAATAAGAATTTTAAAAGTGAGTGTTAAGTTAAAATATTAGATTTTAGGTTATAGGTACTTAGTTTCAACATAATATACTAAGATATTTTTTTCTTAGTTGCCAGTTAGTATTTACTATTAAATAAAATCGATTTTTATAAAATAATAATAATAAATAATTTTTTAGTGCCCCCAGCGGATTGTTGTACAGTTCAGGGTCAGGACAATATTCCATATATTTGCCAAGCAGTGATAAAGATCAACCCATTAGACCCGTCATATTCTGAAATCAACAAAACTTGTCTTCCATTTAGACGAGTAATGACAGCTTCTTTTGATTTTGACTGTGAAATAACTCCTCAGATACCCGTGAGTAATGATTTATATTATTATCGTATATTTTTATTTATGTTATAAAATTATATTTATATACTCATTTAACTTTCTGTGGACTAAAATTAGTAAGTATTAATTAGTATTACAATTTTCCTCAAGTGTATCTCATCATCACTAATGAGCAGTGTTGAGCAAAGATAAATATAATTTTATCTAGATAAAGATAAAGATAAATTATAATAATGTTATCTAGATAAAGATAAAGATAACTAAATTATTTATTTATATAGATAAAGATGAAAAAATATTATTTTATCTAGATAAATTATCGGATAAATTTTTTATATTTTTTATGACACTCTCCGTAAGCACATAGAAATATAGAATAACTTAACAGTATGTTATCGAAAATGTCGATGGTTATTAGTAAATACTACACATTTAATAAAGTACTTAATTGTCTATCTAGGTTTATTCTATAATAAATAAAAGCCGTTTAATTAATTAAATTATCTGAATAAATTTATCCAGATAACGGTGATCTTTATCTTAGATAACTGTGTAAATTAATATTTTTTATTTATCTAGATAAGATAAAAGATAAAATAATATTTATCTTGATAAACTTAACAGTCAACATTGCTAAGGAGTAATGACTTTACTTCTTGTCCACTAGGACTTCATAGTACTTTCTATACGCCGTCTACCAATAAATCTAAATTCTCCAAAAATGCACTTCTATTAAGAATGATGCACAATTTAAATAACTCTATTGAGTATTAAACCGTATTTAGAGGTTCTAATACGAACTACGGAGGCTCACTTTATATTCATTCTTTGTCTTGTTTTTTTTCTTTTGCTTTGTCAATGAAGTCTTTCAATTTAGTATTAGTTAAGTTAGTATAAGATGAAGCGGTGCTCTCACTATACGTGGCACCGTTGCGTAATAATGGGTAACTTTTATTTTATTATAAAATGTACTTGTTTATTTCCATTAGGTATATGAATGAATTATATATTTTACAATTGGTGGGAGGGGGACCCGAAGGTCAGCCGGTCATTCTGGATATCCGTACAAGAATATAATAAGATAGACTCCATCAGTCGTATGGTATAGGCAACCCGTAATTCGTTGCCGGTGGTCTTGCTATCGTTCCGTAGTTGGCCTCGTTGGAGCGCTTGATAGATCGCTTCTACAACAGGCTGTTCAACTCCGATGTTGGCCGGTTCACTGAATAACGAATTCGGCCTGTGTTCATTCAATTTTTCAGGCTTCGTTACGTTCTTGCTAGGAGATGTTGACTGTTTGAAGATTTGTAGGTTTGTTTAAGTGAAGTACATTGCATTTGCATTACTTTGTTTTTAATTTCTCCGTTCCAAGCTTTGATGCTTTTTTTCAGAGGGTTTCATGTAGAACGGGAGATGGTTCATGAGCTAGCTATTTTTGTTTAGAAGGAGATTGGTCTGTTTATGAATAACTGTTTAGGTGAGGTTCTTTTGCTTATATTTGACATATGTGTGAATTTTGAATTTGAGATGGTGGATTTTAATTTTATGTTTCAGTCTATATATGATGTCTGATGGGTGGGATTTCAGCAAAGTTCTTGATGGTTGTATTTCTTACAAACCACTGACTGTCCGTGATGATTCTTAATATGCTTGATTGAGTACTCTCCAGTTTTTTCCAAGAATTTTGGGAAATTTTGGAGGCCCATTCCGGTTCTGAGTATGTAAGCATTGGCCATAGGTAGGTTTTGTATATATGTAATTTTATTTTGAAGGGAATCGGACTTTTTTTGTTGACGACTGGAAAGTGTTTTGCAGCTTTAGTTTTGTTTATTGTATTTGTGATGTGGGAAGTGAAGTGTAGTTTGGGGTCAATTGTTACTCCTAGGTATTTGGCTTTGGTGGACCATTTTATAGTGTTGTTTTCCATTTGTAAGTCTTTAGTGTGAAAAGGTATTTTGTTTGCGTGCAGAATGGCTGTAGTTTTTGAAGGGTTTATTGTGAACTTCCAATCTTTGAACCACTTGGAGTCTAGATTTATTTGATTTCGAAGTCTTTTAACCTCGCAATTGGTGGCGGGACCGGAAGCGTAGAACATTTTATCGTCTGCAAATAAAGCCGTCTTAGAATCTTTGTGCCGGGGCATATCATTAATGTAAGCCGAGAAGAGCTGAGGGGATAGGCAAGATCCTTGTGGTACACCGGTGAGTATGGGTCTACTGTCTACTTGATGATGAAGACTCCTTAACTCTGACTTCAAATGTCCTGAGCTGGAATTAACGATTCTAGTAGTTTAAGCTGCTGAATTGGTAGTTGAAATTGTATTAGTTTATAGACTAGACCGGGATGCTAGACTTTGTCGAAGGCTTTTTCAATGTCTATAAATGCTGTGGCTATTTTTGCCCTTTTGTTTAGATTTATTGAAATTTCGTCAACAATCTTGACAAGTTGGGTGGTTTGCGCGAAATCCAAATTATTCGGGTCTTATATGATCCTTTAGGTAGTGTTGCACAAGATTGAGGATCAATTTCTCATATACTCTAACCAGCTTGTTCAACAATGAGATTGGTCTTTGGTTAACTGGTTGCTTGAAGTCCTTTCCTGGTTTTGGAATCATGATGATTGTGGCGTGTTTCCATTTCTGTCTGAAGTATTCCAGTCTTGTGCAGGCGTTCTGTATATTACATAGTTATAATAATACTTTCCTATCACAGTGTTTGAGACTGGCGTTAGTGAGTTGTTCTGGGCCTGGTGCTTTTTGACTTGGTAGCTTCCTTATGGTGTATTGAATTTCTCCAGGAAAGAAGAAAATGCTCTTGACGTAAGGTAATTTAAAATGATCTTCAATGAAATTCTTGACTAGTTCGTCAGTCTGAGTTGTGTGGTCTGGTGTTTGGAATTGTTTTTCCATTGAATCAGTGAATATTCCGATTTGGCGACTGCATCATAGTGTAGAATATTTCGATTGTCCGAAAGTGGATGTACAGCTGGTCGTTTGTGCATGAGTTTTTAATTAGTTTGTAGATGTTTGTCCAGCCTTCACTTGTGGGGTCGATTTTGCTCAGAAAGTTGACCCATTCGTTGTCCCTGTGTGAATGCATTAGGTCGTGGACTAGAGCTGTTTATCTGTTGAGTAGCGTCTTAACGTCTGGGTTTTTTGTATGTTGCCAGTTTTTTTCAGTTTGCGTTTTTGTGGATTGCGTTTAGGATGTTGATATGCAGGTTGCGGGTTTGATCTTTTGGATAGGTAACATAGGTGTTATTGCTTACGAGTGCAGCTATTTTTGTTGTGAGTTCAGTGATGGCTTGGTCAATGTGTTCTGAAGTTTGCATTTTCTTGAGATCAAAGATTATATTTTTAGTCTCAGGATTGAATTTGATACAATCTACATGTTTGAAAACTTTTGGTGGTAGGGTTTCAGTGCTTTGGGCTTGTAGTTCAAGAATGATATTGGTGTGGTCGGAAGAAAGTTCGGCTGTGAGATTTTGTATTGTGTACCTTAGTTTCTCTGTTTTAATTTGATTGTAAACGATTTTATAATTAATAAGTATGGCTGTGCCTCTCCATGCAGAATGTCCTAGCCGTTGGGGACGATTAGTGATGTAAGAGTGGTAGTTTGGAAATTTGAATTGTTGGGAGTTGTTAAGATGAGTTTCATTCAGTAGAATAATGTCGATATTTTTCCTTTGAACTAAGTCAAAGAGTTCGAGGCGTTTTCTGGAGACGCCCCGGCAGTTCCAGTATAGGATACGGAGATTATTAGACATTTTGAATAATCATTAACATGACTGAGATGGCCGACATGATTGTTTCCTTGATATCTGTAGATAAGGATAATTTTTGTATCGTATCCTTAAGAAGCTTGGTCAGCGATTCTTTGGAATTGCTGTTAGGTTTGTCCGAGTGGTTTGCAGTAGTTGAAGCATAAGAGAAGGTTGAGTTGCTGGGTTCCTTAACTGATGGTGTAGAGTTGGCCGTAGTGGTTGGTGATGATAATTTAGCTGCTGTGTTGTTTGTTTTGGATTTGAGAGTCATTTGAGCTGAGAAAACAGGGCATTGTCTGAAGTTTGCTGTGTGTTCTCCTTTACAGTTGCAGCATTTTAGAGGTTTTTCTACCGTTTTGATGCATTCCTTTGTTTGTTGGGCACCATTGCATTTGACGCAGCGGGCGGAGTGCTTACAGTTTGCTGATGAGTGGCCGAAGTTTTAACAGTTGAAGCATTGAGAGGGCTCAGAAGCTCGGTATTGTTTAACTGTGATTGAGATATAGTAGATTGATGTCAGATTGAATAATTTTTTGTTGGTTGGATTGCAGGGAAGAGTGACCATGTACATTGGTAGTGGTTTTCCATTTTTAAGGAGTTGTCTGATGTGGGTTGTTTCAAAACCGAGCTCAGAGAGTTCGTTTTGAACGTCTTTTACTAGGGTGTTGTTGTTTATTCCTCGGAGTAAGAAATTTAAGGATCTATCCACTGGTAACGAAAAGGTGTGGAAAGGTATTTTGGCTTTTTCCAAAAAGTCTTGAGCTTGGCGATAGGTGGCAGAGTGGGTTGCTAGTGCACGGATGTTGTTGTTGAAAAATTTGGCCGTAAGTTTACCATTTGGAAATAGTAACATGATTTTTGGGATTGCTTTAATCCAGTGACTTGGTTCTATAATGATTGGTGAAATTCGTTCTTGTTTAACATGAGGTAGTTCGATTTGAAGGTTTGGGATTCGCTGCCGTCCCAGCTGTTGTTTGAGTGGATAGTTGCTGAAGAAAGAGTTGGTGACTTCGTGACGATGGAGGATTCGTTGTAGGAGGGGGTCGATGACTTTGGTTCTGGACGCTGGGGTTCTTCCCGGTGTCTGATCTTCATGAGAGTAGCTCATTGGGCTATTTGAGAGTTGACTGTTTTGTTGTTGGTGCTGCGACGTGAGCCACCTCGATGGTTGCCCATATCAGTAGGTAGGTCTTGAGATCTGTGCTTTGGGTGCGATTACGGTACGAAACCCAGCTGCATGCACCCCTCAGGTGCACTTGCCTCGTGGTCTGTGGAGGTGTAGTAATGCAAGGTATTTACGGTTTTTTGAAGTGATTTTCAGCTTCTTGTGGCGATCGGAAGAATCTGGTCTATCGTTGAGGTGAAAGCTGCTATTCTGGACCTTGTGCTTCTGTTGAAACTAGTTGAACTGGAATATTTTTCTAAGTATTTTATTTGATAAAAATCGATTTTATAACGAGTAGTGTATGAGTTATAAGTATTTAAAGTTTAGATGGACGGAGAGGAGTGGTATGGGGTTACCCCGCAAAATATTTATCCACTACTCCGCTTGTCTAAACTTTAAATACTTATAACTCATAAACTATCCGTCCTAAATTGTATTTTTATGTTTCAAAAAGTTAGCAAAATATTCTGTTTTGGATAAGAAATTAAAACTCTAGGTTGTCATTCAAAAAAGTAAAAACTACAAAAATTATAAGGATAAAAAATATTTAAAAATATAAATTTTCAATAAAAAAGTTGTTTTTTAACACCTTGAAACTATACAAAAAAACATTAATACTCTTTTGAAATAATGAGTGTTCAATGATAAAAGAATCACCTGGTACATTACAATGTAAGGTATAGAAAATACTAATATAAACATTTGGTGAAAATTTTAAGTATGTATACTCTTTTCAAAATAAGACCGTGACTAGGCGGCGACTAGTTTTCGCCTTGCGGCGGTCAGACATATTACCAGATACCGTCCCTACTTACGGTGACGCGCCGGGCACCGCCACGGAACAAAGCTACGCCCATGTGCACAACTCGGCTTTTTGACAAAATTGACTTTGTTATTTTACCATAAATTAAAACAAATAACTGTAGATACTTGAAATGTTCACTAAATGTTAATATTAGTATTTAATATAGGTAAATGGTAAAGTTTTTTTAAATATTTTGAAAGTTTCTTAAACTATTTTTAGACATTTAAAATTTATTTGTATGGACGTTCATCTATTTTGTAGGCATGCGATTATCTACATAATGTAATGTGGGTAGATACTTTTTATTTATATTCGTACCAATTAAAAAGTTAAATTGCATTTATTAATTAAATTAATTGTAACTTTGTTAATTTGTTCATCCGTTCATTTTTAACTTAAAATAAAATTATATAAGTTAGCATTCAACTTAGCTTAACTTAATTTTTCTATATGTACTAACTACTAACTTAACTTAACAAATTTGTTTAGTAGTGCCACGAATTTTAGTATACTACATAATATTGTTGTTATTTTGTGTTTTTTATAGGTTTTAAAATCATTGATATTATACATAAAATAAAAACTCTAATAATTATAAAAATCTAATATGTTATCTAATTTCTCAGGTAAATCAACAAACTGCTTTTGTTGACGCATCTCAAGTGTACGGACCGACCGCTGCCATAGCAGACTCTCTTCGATCTCATAAGCTTGGAAGATTAAAAACTGAGATGATTGATGGTCAAGAATATGGTGCTCAAGACCAAAGGAACGGATCAACATTTTGCGGTGGTCGATTGAATGTGACTTATTGTTTCAACCGAGGTACTGTCAAAACTAAAAATATCACAAATATGGAAATCATTATGATATTTAAAAATGTTGTTTTTAGGCGATCCTAGAAAGAATCAGCACTTCGGTCTCATATTATACGAAGAGACGTTTCTTAGGTTTCATAATTATATAGCTGGATTGTTACTCAAGGAGAATCCAGATTGGTCAGATGAAATACTATACCAGGAAGCTCGAAGGTTCATAATCGCAGTTCTAGAGATTGTAGTTTACCGAGATTACTTGCCGGTTTTACTTGGTAGGTTCTTATTTTAAGAGTCACCTAATTTAAACATACATTTTTCGATGTAAACATGTTTTATTGTGTATACATATAAATATAATTATTAAGAATTATAAAAGGTAAAACATTCATTAATTAAAAATATAAAATACTAGCTGATCCCGTGCACTTCATTGCCCGTTAACTTTTGCCCTTATAACTAATTCTATATAATTGAAACTTTGTTCAATTTGTTATTTAATATTCGGTATGTGATGTTCAAAACTTAAAAATGTTTATCGATCACTTGAATCTCAAAATACTTGTGCAAGCACCACTTTAGGCGAATTTTACGTTACATGGTTTTGACCAAATATAATATTATACAGGTCTAAAATTATAATTTATTATTATTAGTTTATTTTATTGCTGGTCAGATGGCGCCACTATTGTAATTTTATAATCCAGATTTCCTACTTTTCCAGAGTATTATCCTAAAATGTTCTTTCAAACATTGTCCTGCCAAAGCCAAATCGGTAAAGGCGTTCTCAAGTTACGACGTGACCCAGGGAAATAGGGATTTATTTTTATATAATATATAGATGTATTAATTAAAATTTAATGTTTAAAAAATTAAATACTTGTTCATAGGTAGTGATTATTGTGAAAGTGTTGGGTTGAGTCTTACTAAAGATACTAAAACTGTGTATGATCCATCAATTATGCCTCAATTGGCCGTTGAATTTCCAGGAGGTTGTTTTCGAGTTCCACACAACGTTGTGCCTTCGATATATTAGTAATTTGTTAATTATGTTTTTAAATAAAAGACGTCCTTTATATTAATTGTGCAACCGTTCAAGTTTTGTAGACGAGAATAATGAAATCGTAGATCAATTCAAGCTGAACGAGTACATGGCAATTCCTGATCCGTTGATCGGTGGTTCTAAGCTTGAAGAGTTACTCAGAGGTATGACATTTCTGCCAGGTCGTTGTCCTTTAGCATCGTACAATTTATTGGTAATATCGTTTTATAATAATGTTTATTGAAATATTTTTGTCTGTATAATTAACCTGAATTATTTGATTATATACCAGATATCAAGTCGTATGTTTCATAATTGGGTAAGTACTGTTGCAGACACAGACTTACTTAGTATAGACATTCAAAGAGGTCGTGATATTGGTTTGCCTCCATACATCAAAGTCAGAGAAATTTGTGGTTTTCCAAAAATTATATCATTTAGTGATCTAGCTGGCGTATTAGATCCTTTTGTAAGTTGTTTTTTTTTAAATTGTTCGTAATAATTTTTATACTTTTAATCAAACAAATTAAAAAAAAAATCGGGTAAGTGGATGTCACTCTGCTGTACAGTAGGTTACAAGTAAGTCACTGTAATGTAATGGATGGTTTTTAACTACAAAATTATTTTTTTCTTTTAAATTTGAAGTTTAAAATATTTAATGCTTGTATGAAAAAAATGTGCTTGTGTATAATTCATATTTTTAAATTGCTATTCTAAAAATATATTTGGAATCTTGAATTAACTTTTCACCCAACAAATAACTTTTATTGACATTGCTAGAAAAAAAAAATGAAAAGGAAAATGCCCGAAAACAGTTCAAAACGAGTCAAAATATTTTTAAAATTTTATCAAGTATAGGAATTTATAAAATAAACATACAGTGTAAATTTCAAGTATGAACAGTAATTCGTTTTTGAATTACAACTAAATGAGAAAATCAATTTTGACAAAAACTGATTTTGCGTAAAAATTTCAGTTTTTCCTGGCGCTTTTAAAAATTTCTGGGAATTTTTAATTTGGCCTCCCCAATACACTAACTAGCATTACTTTCCCATCGAACAAGATACTGAAGTAGAAAATTGAAGCATTATTGCAATTAAGTACTTATTTTGTAAACAGACACTAATAATAATAATAATAATAATAATAATAATAATAAAAAAAACAAACATCATTGTAAAATCATGTATGCGTAGAATCTATAATAAAGTTGTATTACTTGTATATATTAACTTTAATGTTTACTACTGATTTATCAAATTCAGGATATTTTGTTACTGCAAAAGTTATATGATAGTGTTGAAGATATAGATTTGCTAGCAGGAGCTTTGCTTGAACCAAATGTCGATGGTGGAATGGTCGGTGAAACTGCAAGGTGTATAATCGCTGATGGATTTTATCGTATTCGATTTGGTGATCGTTTCTTTTGCGATGTAGAAAATCAACCAGGAAGTTTTACTAAAGGTATTTGTGACATTCATTATATCGAATTTTTTTTACTGGATTTAGACTAATAGTAATTATTATATATATTTTTAATGTTAGAACAATTTGATGTCTTATGGAGTCTCGATCTTACTCAATTATTTTGTTTAACGACAAATATTGATAAATTACCACGTGATATTTTCACACCAAATGGGTTGGTATTATTATTTTTATTACATAATTTATTATATTTGATTAATTGTATTTATACCACAAATATCAATAAATATGGAGATGACCAATACAGTTTTTAAATACTTCGTACCTCCATCTAATTCCCATAATTTTGTTTTAAGGCTTTCGGGAACGTACAGTTGTGAATCAATACAATTGGACCTCTCAGCATGGAAAGATAAATAAAAAGGTCAACTTAATAAATTATTATTTCTTCTAACAGAAATTCAAAAGAATCAAGTACCTATTAGTTTAAATTAAAATTATATGCGTATAAAGCACAAAACCTAAAAAAATATGATAACTTAAGTTATAAAATAGATTTAATTTTCAAAACTGTACAATACATTTAAATTAAAAATTAAAAAAAGTGATTATTGTAATAAAACTATTCTATGTAATATGAACTCTTACATTTATGCATAATAATACAATATAATTCTCTAGGTTCATAATTTATAGTTTGATGTTTTTTTTTTGTTATCAACGTCGACGTTATTAAAGGATGTAATTATATTATGAACATTATTATTACATTATTTATAAACAGGATTATTGAATTATTTGATTGAGATCAGTTTAATTTAAAAAGTTGATTAGCGTATATTGACTGTAATAACGAATATTAAAATTTTGTTTTGCTGTTTGATGAGATAACGTTACTTATATTGAGAAAAAACATAAAACAGTAGGTATGCTGATTCTCATACTATTATCAACTATTATAATATGTATATAGTCTATTCGCCGAGAGTCAACCATGCATACAGTATGCTGTGTATTCTGTGTTAGCTACATTACAAAATTCTTTAAGAGCTTCAACACGAACGCTATAAATGTAAAAAAATGAATATATTTTTACAATTATGCATTCAAAATCAACATGTAAATAATCTGCAGCTGTTTTAATTGCATTGTGGATTATGTGAGCTTCGCATGCAATTCCTATGAGAGTCCTTCCAAGAGAAGTGTTCAATTCAGCATAAACGTTATTAACTCCTTTTCTATTTTTTCCTCCAAAATTGCAGTTAGTATTGTCCCCACAAAACTCCACAATTTTTGACAGTTCATTTTTAGTCAATACTTGTTTTAAATAATCCACAATTATATCTGATGTTTCACCCGGTTGCTCTTGAAATTCTAAAATCTTTACTTGCACTACTTCATACGGTAAAAAGTAACGAACTAAGACAGGGAATAATTTTGTAGAACCATGGTTTGAAGCGTCCGTTAGTAAATTAATGCAATTCGCTTTATGGAGATGGTCATTTAAACTCTATACAGTATAAATAATGTATGATTGTGATTTGTGATCAATAAATACTTACCACAAGTCGACTTTTCTTAAAGCGGGACATTTTTAAGTTCTTTGGGGACAGCGGAACACTTAGCTCGAAAGCGGGACTGTCCCGCCCAAAGCGGGACGTATGGTCACCTTATGCATACTGAGCCGCCGTAACATTCAGATCCCCGAGTAGGAGACCGGCGGTCTGTGATTGGTTGGCAGTGTTCGGCGATCGGCAATGCTCGTCGAAGTAAGCAGCTGCTATTGGCGACGATTACCACTAGCGCTCCAAAGACGGGCCGGGCTGCGCGACCGCGACCAGTTTTCGTCGAGCGAGTGGGTCAACTCCATAGATAATATAAGAATGGATATAGTGATACTATTTTTAAGGTTATATAAGGCAAATATTGATATGATAATTGATAAATAATAATAAATAAAATTTATATAATTTCATTTTGTTAAAATATTATTTTCCAATTTCCATTTTCTAGGCACAGGTGGCACAACAATCAAAATACAAACTGACAAATATCTAAATATAACTGACTATCATGTTATTATTATTATTATTTAATAAAATAGTTTTGCACATAACCTTGAAAAGCCTCATATCGTCTTTCTCTCTTTACGTTCTCTCTTCCCCGAAAAAGCACACGGCCTCATATGGAACTGGTATAGGCATGTCCTATCCATTCTTATATTATCTATGGTCAACTCTCGGCGAATAGAGTATAAGTTTTCAGAGATTTTATCCCGTCGAAGATCAATCAACATATTACCTGAAATCTCGAACTGAATTTTTAATACGATGTTGTTTGTTGGGATGTCTCCTAAATTATTTATTATTTAGGCTAAATATCAGATCTAGTGATAGATTTATATTATTTATAGATATAATTATAGGCATTAGACACTTTCAATAATTGTTATGTTTATTTTCTGTAAATCTTGATAACGTAAAATGTTTTTTTCATTTTGTCAAAAACCTTGAAAATATAACATTTATCATTTCCTCCTAAATTGTTTTAATTGTTTTCAACAGTTGGCCGTCGAAAGTAAGTTATGGCGGTGCCCTTTATCTACGCTCCTTCGACCTGTAACCACCCAATGTGTTAGTATACATAAGTTATAAATAAGTTGAAACATTATTGTAGACTCAGGGGGTCCTTTTTTTTTTTTTTTAATTTCATCGGGCCACCCATAGAATTTGTTCAGAACTATAAAAAAAATGAGATTTGTAAAGTTTTGTAATAATTGGTCTACCCTAAGTCGTGCCTCAAGAGAGCTGAAGTTCAAAGAAGGGTGGCTTTTCGATTTTTGTAATTTTGGCCTAAAATATTTAAGATGGGCAAAAAAGTGCTATTACATAATATTTTTTAAATTTAATATCCTATAAACAATGTTACTTGTACTTTTTTCATTGACATTGATGATATTTTACTCATTTCAATACAAAACAACGAAAACTCGTTTTTAGGGTTCCGTACGATAAAACGGGACCCTATAACTAATGCTCCGCTATCCGTCTGTCTGTCTGTCACCGGCCTGTATCTCATGAACCATGAAAGTTAGAAAGCTGAAATTTTCACAGATTATGTATTTCTGTTGCCGCTATAACAACAAATACTAAAAATCCTAGAATATATAATATCAGCGGTGTTGCCACTCGCCAACATGATTACAGATGATGGTACGGAACCCTTCGTGCGCGAGTCCGACTCGCACTTGGCCGGTTTTTATTAGTATATTTTTATTAGTACATAATTAATAATTAATATGATGCGGTGTCTATATTTTCCATTTTTCCATACATAATTAAAAATGGTATACAATATACATTATTTTGTACTTATTATGTACTTATTATGTAAAAAACGCTGATTGTTATTCCATAATTCAGGATCTTCATTTAAAAAATCAGTTTTGGCGTTTAACCGATGAAATAATTTTTATGAAAAGCTGTTGATAAAATCACTAATACATTTAAATTTCAATAGGTTCAAGGTATGGCTTTTAATTTGCTATATGCGCTCGAAACCAACTTTTTACGTACCTAAATTGAAATGATAAAAATACATGATAATTGGCATGCCTTTTGTTGACGTGCTGACGTTTTGAATTGGTTACGAAAAATGAAAATTTTTAGGCAATATATTGCCTTGGCTATTCACCTAGCATGATGGAAAGTACCTGGAATACGAAATGATATTCCACGATGTGGAGTTCCTCCGAGAAAAATAATCTTGAGTTCTAGTAGTTCCCTGTAGTCTTCACGAATTTGTTTTTCTTTCGATCAATTTTTCAGCAAACTGAAGTACCTATATCATTTTTTGTGTGTGATAAAGATGTACAAATATTACTATCTTCAATACCCGGATTAAAATGAGTAGTATTTAATTTGCTTTAGTATTCTTGAAATTTTTTAAAAGTTGAATATTGGGCCCTGACTATTAATGCCAATCTTTTCTTCAAAGACACTTCACTACTAGCTCATAGATATGATGACGGCACATGAGGTATAACATTTCTTTTTTGAGATGTTGCTCTAATAAGACACATGCACCCTTCAAACGAGTATTAGATGCTATAGTGTCACAACAAACTGCAATAACCTAATCAGTTAACTCCAATCCATTATGTACAATGTCTGCACAAGTATAGACAGGTTAGAACAAGTAGGTATAATTATTAATTAATATTGCACAGATTAGCGTGCATTTTAACCATGTTAACAGTGCCAATTTAAAAGCTATTAGAAAAGTTTTTATATGGTTATGTGGTTAATTTTTTCAATACAAAGTATATCATGTACGATTTAATCATGTAAAATATACTAAATACGAGTTTTTTTCATTTTGTATTGTAATGAGTAGTTAAATAAAAAAAGTGCAAGTAACATTTTTTATAGGATCTACAATTTAAAAAATATTATGTTAACGCACTTTTTTACCTATCTAAAATATTTTAAGCCAAAATTGCAAAAATCGAAAAGCCACCCTTTTTTGAACTTAAACACTCTTGAGGCACGCCTTAGGGTTGATCAATTTTTATGAAACTTTACACAATTCATTATTTTGTTGTTTTGAAAGAACAAATTCTAGGGGTGGCCCTATCAAAAATTGAAAAAAAAGTGTCAACCCTATACATTAAGGACCACTACTTGAGTTATAAATTTATAATAGATATTATAATACTAACACAACACTGCAGAGGTTTTCTATTTTACGTTTAAACTATTTCAACTATGACATCAATCTCCGAACAAACCTACCCTGCGAGGCCACCGATTCAAATGAACAAATTGATCAACTCATTGAGATGATTTCAAAAATAGTCATAGTACAATATTATTTCATCCGTTAATTAAAGTCATGACTCTATCAAAACCCAAGATAAAAATTCATATCTTTTGACGTAAAAATCGACTTACTATCTACCCAACTAACTGATGTGATTAATGAAAATAAACCATTAAAAGTTAAAATCGAAAAATTAGTACTTAAGTTGTCTGAAGTTGAGCGTGGTCAATCTACAACATCCTAGGGCCTTATTACTAAGAGATAATGTTTACTCGGAACTTTTTAATCGGCAATCTAGGGCTCAAAATGTTATTCTGTTTAATGTTCCCGAATCCTCTGCATCTGTATACCTGGTCAATCAGATGATTCTTCGTAAAGGACGTGTTTAATACCATAGGTGTCTCATTCGACCCGGTGTCTTTTCATCGTCTTGATAAAGCTTTCAGTAAGTCACGCCCCTGAGTGTTACCCTTGTTAGCTCTATACTGATGTACCTATTTAAAATTTTAAAAGTAAAAAGGAAACTTATTATTATGAATGGATTTAATAATATCCGTATTTCATCGGTACTAACACTGCTACAACTTAAATATCTCTCGTTTATTTTATCGGAATTAAAATCAAGAAATGACGCTGGTGTTCATTGTATATTTATTAAATATATATATTAACGGCTTACCAACTATCTCGAAAAACAACCGAACAAGCTCAAAATTACCAAAATGTGGTCATCATTTAATTATCTTTCTACATTATATTATCAGAACACTCGTGGGCCGTGGCATCAAAATCAAATTAGATTTATTATTTATTTATTAATTTAACTATAGAAAACCTTGCCTTTCCGATTATGACATTATCGTACAAGCTGAAACCTGGTGATCAAAACCAAGCTGACGCAACTTGGACTTTGTTCCAATTACCAAGGATTTCACTGTGATGGTTGTAGTGGTGTTCAGATAAGAGTGCTTATCGCAGTAAAGACCAATAATCCCCACAATAACTCAATATTGAACACGTACTTGTAAAAAAAAAACATTTTAAGACCTACTCACTACACATTAATCCTATGTAATGTTTATTTTCTACCTAGATTTGATATGCTTATGTAACTCATATATAAGCGTCATAGACAGTCTTATGCAAAATAATTCAAATTGTAAATTCTTAATCGTAGGTGACTATAATCTCACTAATGTTAATGTTGGGTATTACTTAATAATGTTGCTACGTCAAATCTTTCAAATATAAATAATTCTAATTCAAATATTTTAGCTGGTTATTCATATCTAATTATGATGTAGTTTAATCTGATACAATATAATCTCTCTGGATCATTATTGGATCTTGTTTTTTTAAAATGTAAATGCCTAATGTAAATGTATCCCCGATTATTCCCCGGTCTCATATATTTCAAATTACCAATACTCTACACTCTACTGTATATATTTAAAATTTTATCTCGTTCTCTAGTACCTTATAATTCATTGCAGAGATATTATGTTTGATGAGTATATAAGTAGAGTATACCAAGAGAATCCTACAGCAGAAGTAAAGCTTATTATTTTTGTATTAAACTCTCTTTAAATTAATCTAGATACTACCTATTATATTATTTCGTTAAATTTAATATCATTTGTGTATTAATTATATGATTGTATGTAATTTATAATATATTTGTACAGTTAATGTAGCAAGTTAAAAACTGTCAGTTTAAGGTAGGTATGTGTTATTATTTTTATGGTAAAAATATGTAGTAAAAACTGATTCTAAGTGAAGCTCATTTTACTATAGTTATTACTGATTTGTGCTTATAGATTTTGTTTAATTGTTATTCAACATTTTTTCTTTGTATTCAAATATAAATATATATTTACTAACGAACTTAGAAGTTAAAATAGATAACAATAGCACACTGAAGTTTATTCTAGTAATAGATTCCATAAATAATATATATTGTGAATATAACACACAATTTGTTAGTTATAATTTATGTGTAAGTGTCGCAGACGTGTGCTTTAAAATAAACTAACGTTGGCGTATCTAACTAAAATGAACATATTTGGGGAACTTGAGGAGTATAGTTTTACAAATAATAGAAATTCCGAGGTGGGCTTTAGCAAGAGAAAACATTTAAATATTTTATTTCGCCATTTATCGGCAATAATAATAATATCATTAAAATTTCATAAATTATATGATTATTGTGGGTTTGTGGTTACAAAATTGCATATTGCTATACCTACTATAATATTATCATATTACTTTTTTTTTTATTAATAAATAAAGTCCGCTATACCAATGGTCATTGGACTAAAATTAATTTTAAGTAGTATTACAAAATGTTATTTACATGGGTTGTGTATAATACAAATACCTACAGTTGGCAAAAAAAAAAAAGGTAGTAAATAGTAATAGATTAAGAGGACGACACATCCGAATGTGTTTTATCCGATTTACAAGTGCTTAACATACCAAATTAACGCACATCCGTTTAAGTTTAGCTCACCGTAAGTTAAAATTTTTTTTTTGGTTTTTTTTTTTTTTTTTATTGAACTAAAAATTTTATTTACAATCTATAATTACATGTATTACAATAAGTAAATGGGATGGGGATGATTAGCGGGAGGGGGAAGTCACCCAATGGAGACACCCAGTGGAAGCTTAAAAATTAGAGTGAATCGACCTATTATGAAACTTGACGGTCTTGATTACTCTGTATTCAGGTATTTGTATTTTTTTTTTTTACGATGGTTCAGTTTTTCAGCAAGTTTTGCGTATATAATATAGCAATATAATATAATTAAATATAACTAAATATAATTGCAAATTCTCATAATGTTTACATTATTACATGTTTTAACATTTATATAATGTTATAATGTTATTATTATAACATTATTAACATTGTATTTATTATTGTATAAACATTTTTATTTTAACATTTATTACATTATTACATTCTTACAAACTGAATAATCGTAAAAAAAACCACATACGAACACAGATAATGTTCTATTACCATCAAGTTTCATAATAGGTTAGTTGTAAAAACCAACGGAGCCAAACGTGATCTGCTGAGCGTACATTTTCTATGTTGTAAGACGGAGACAACACATGAGGGTGTGGCGTCCTCTTAATATAATATAGTGATTAGATTTTGTAGAGCAATTTTGAATTGAGTAGAAACTCTCGAGTGGCTCTAACGGTGGGTGGTTCTGGATTTAGGATTTTGGAAAGATGATATGACATGATCGATTGAGAGAATCTTTATCCGAACACCGTCATTCTGTGCGGATGTGTTTGACGGTTAGTAGAGTACCAGACAAATTGGTGGTCCTTACTATATTAGTGTATTCAGTGGGATATAAAAAAATTATACAAATCTAAGAAAAAATATTTCGAAATCGTTTAATATTTTGTTACTTTTTGTTTTAGAGGGTTTATTCATATTTTCCAGCCAATGGGGCTAACCCACTTGATTTACTTAAAGTTTTAGAGATATTTTAAGTGTTTTTATAGAGAAGAGGGTAGCTTATCCGATTTACCACAGTTCACTCCTCCATGATTGTGAGCCTTAACTATCAAGATTAATTCACCACTAAATGTATTGTAAATTAAAGAATTGGATCGTTTCTTCCTGAAACTAAAATCACAATGTCGTGTGAAACGCAAATTAAAATGTTAAGATCTTTAACGTATTGTAATATAGTATATTATGCTTATGTGTTTTTACTCCAATGAAAAATTGTTAATTTAATTAATTACTCAATGTCTAAGGTTTAAATTCAATTGCACGAGGATGTTAAATTTGATTGTATGGTTATGTTTCATATCAATATTCGGAATTTCAATAAGTTGTAAAGTAAGTAGTAATTGATACATTATTAACCTACTAAAAAGTAATTAGGTACCCAATAAATAGATTTTAATGTTTTATATATAAAAAAAATTAATTGTATGTATAGTTAACCTAACATACCTAACTACACTATACTCCGTGTCAAGAGAGAGTGCGACCACCACGCTTATATCCCCCACCGTCCCAAGGCCAAATTTCAACTACCATGTGGTCCGAATGTACTAGGGATGCGTGGGAATGAAAAAATGTTGGTCGCCACCCAGTCGTAATCTCTCGTGGCACGAAGTAATGAAATAAAAAATTGTGGGTCAGCTGACAGTCCAACCCGAGGACTTGAGTCCTCATTTTAGTCACATTAATAAATTGTACTAGGTCAAAACAATTATTTGGATTAATTAGTTGAAATTATGCAGATTTTACCGATAAATCAATTTAAAATCGATTAACTGATTTTTAGTACGTTCCATTTGTGAATATATCAATTGGGCAATAAATTAAAAGTACAATATTATATTCATCACTCCGCTTAAAATCTCGAGTTCAATAACTGTATATTTTTAAAATGTATTAAAATATTAACAAGAGTGAGTAATCAACTCTAAATAGGGGTTTGGTTAAATCAGTTAATACTTGAAACGAATTGCAATAATACAAGTGTGGAACAATAATATCAAGCCCGGATTAAACGGGGGGCCAAAGGGGGCACGGTCCGGGGCCCATTCATTTTGGGGGCCCATCTTTATCACCAAAATATATTTTTTTTAACGCGTCCAATACAGTTTTCAATAAAAAAAAAATTATTTAAGTAGGTAGGTATAGTAGGTAAATTATTATTAATAATTATAAAATAAATATGTAAAATATTATATGGTATAAAATTTTATGCCACCAAAAATTACTATAAATAATGAACTATGTTTGCCAATAATTTTGTTTGTTTGTTTGTTTGTTCGTTTTTTTTTTTTTTTTGAACATTTTAGATTATCAATTTAACTATATAAGTAGGTACCTATATAAAAGGTAGTTATAAGAAAAAATTATTTAGCTCTTGTAAATTAGGTATTTCAGTTAAAATTATAAACGCATACTACTGGTGATCAAAACAAGACCAAGACCAAGACTTTCAAAATCTTGGGCTTGGTCTTTATTTTGCAGACTCAGTATTGGTCTTGGTCTTGGTCTTGAGCAAGACTCTTGCAAGACTTGCTATTTTCACAAAATATATAAAAAATAACTAAATACCTGTTATAGCTGTGTGTAGGTTTTTTGTTATGATCTCAAATATGAAACTTATCGATTTTGGGAAAATAAAATAATTTTTCAGTAATTGTTAATTTGTATGAACAAATATGTTATTTTGTAATATCAATTCCCATTATATTTCTAATCTTTTTTTCAATAATTCGCCATTTCCTCGAACACTGGTAAAATTACTCATAACAATACAAATAAATTCTTTTTATTTTCGTTATGAATTATTAATTAGTTAATGAAATCCAGATACAGTAATGTGTTTTCGGGATAAAAAATTTGCAAGATCACAAGAGTCTTGCAGTGATGGTCTTGTCTTGTTCTTGCAAGCCTAAATCTTGGTCTTGGTTTTGCAGCAAGAGTCTCGCGAGACCGCAAGACCAAGACCAATTTTGATCGTCACTAATGCATACTTTAGAAGATCATAGTTAATAACCTAGCTAACCAAAATTGATCATTTGACTGTCAAAATGTTTAGAAAAAAAGCTTTAGCGGAATCCATAAAAAAAACATAGTGGTTACCATTTGAAAAAATAAAGTCGATTTTATTATTTTTACAACTGCGTGTTTAAAAATGTTGAATATGTTATAAAATAAATTGCCTGTTAAAAATAAAGAGAAGATTGTCTTTTTTTGTTTTAACGAAATTCCATATCATCGATCCATACCTAATTTTTTAAAAAAAACAGCATACAATGACATAAGGTACACCCTTTATATTTTTTTATTTTTGTATAGTAAAAAATTATACAATAATATAAAGTCGTTAATATGTAATGATACAATTATTTTGAAGTTAAAGTTGAAAGGGGGCCCACTAAGTGTATGGTGTCCCGGGGCCCAATTGATCCTTAATCCGGGCTTGAATAACATGGGTAATGGGTAGCTCTAGATATTATTTTAATATAATAATATAAGGATTAAGGAGTAAATCTATTTCAACTTTGAATATTTAAACTTATTAGTTATTTTTATTATTTAACATGTAGACTGAAAATGAAGACTATGTGATTTATCACGGAGATGGTCCTCAATCGAATAGCATATATTATGACAAGTGTGCGCCCACAGTGACCTGCGATCGAAATGCTATTTATAGGACAGCAAATGGCTCATGTAATAACCTAGAGAACCCGTTGTGGGGGTCGTCTGAAACTCCATACATCAGACTTTCTGAAGCTGCTTATAATGATGGTGAGTTTTTACAGTGAACCGTTTTTCCAAATACTAAAACATATTAATGAGAATAAATATCTAAAACAATTATTTTCAATGGAGATGGCTGGACAATTATTTGCATGTGATATCTATAACGGTACTAAAAGTCTGAACTTTTGATTCTTAGCTAAATGAGAAATGTTTAATATAAAACGAATATAATATTATGAGTTATAGTGTGTTTTTGTTTGTTAGGTTCATCTATTATGAATTATGATTAATGAAGAAAGATTGCTCTAATAGTTTAAAATTGCTCTATACGGTCTATATTATATATTATATCAATATTTTTAGTTGGTTAAAATAAAGAGGACATATTTTGTTATTTTCGTTAGTTTCTTACCCTTAAAGTAAATAAAAACTATAGAAAAGTTGTGAGGTTCTGGCATATCTATTTTGGAGGAATTCTCCAAATGGAATAATATTTCCATTTTTAGATGCACCTATAATCATTATTATGGATGAAGGGAACACTGCGATGCATATGTTTTTAGAATATTTAATGTGGAAATGGTTCTGTTTTTCTAAATTCAGTAAACATTTATTTAGTAGAATAAACATACATATAATATACTTTATTCGTAGTTATATTAATGGTAACAGTTTTATTATTTTAATGTATCCATATACATTTTTTATTATAAGATATTTTAATTTTTAAGTGTTTTCCAAAATTAGTTATAATAAATAGTAATAATAGTATACTATTATAAGTGTACTATTAGTATTAATAGTATATTTCCTAACATTTGTGACATTTATTTTATATCTTTTCAGTCGAATAAAAATATTAAATCATTTCTACATTTGTTTGAGTCACACATTTTTACTAATTTTCACAAATCGTTTGAAAAATCAAAATACATACGTTCAAAAAGTAACTGTGTAGAAAATTCATATAGATAATACTAGATAAACGTATTTTTTTTTTTAATAATATCAAATATGAGTAGGCATATAATCATATAAAAATTAAGACATTTTATTTATAAATTCTTAGATTTTTCTTATATTTAATGTATGTACCTAATTGACGAAATATGCAAAGTAATGCATTGTTTGTTCTTAATATCGTAATTCTATTTTAAAATGGATTATAAGATTGGTCTGTTTTGCTTTTACATCATTGAGAGAATAATGTATACAAATATGCAATTCTTACAACATCCGATTATTGTAAGCTTAATAATTTAACTGTTTTATAAATATAATTAAAATTTGTTTAAGTACCTATATATATATATAATTTTTTATTTGTTTGCTTCAATAGGCGATCATGAAGTTCGGAAACAGTCTAATGGATCGCTGTTACCCATACCTCGAAAAGTGCAGTTGTCATTATTTTTGGAAAATTCCAAGGATTCCCCAGACCAAAACAATTATCATCTAAGTCAATTTGGTCAATGGGTCACTCATGATATCACTCTCCTACCACCAGATCCTTCAGGTAAAAATTAATTTTGAAATATATCTGCTATAATATAGTAGGCTTTGAGTGTACCTTGTCTTTTAGAAGGTCATCACGGATGTGTTAAATTTGTGGCGCATTTATAAACATAAAATAGCAAAATAACTCATTATATTTCAACTAAATAAAAGCGCAGGTATTTTAAATGCATTTATTTTTAATAAAATTATTTTATAGAAGTTTGAATATACCTAATATACCTCGACAGTTATTATTTCACGCTATACGCTATACGCTTATTTTGCGGTCTAGCTAGGTTTGTTATTTTACCAATGTATGTCAAAACTCAAAATACAATGTTATTGTTGATAATGTGATCAGGGCCAGAGAGATGTTGTTCCACCCCGATTAATGAGATCAACAGTAGTACCCCATACCAATGTCAATTGCCTATTGAGTTGCCAACGGATGACCCAGTTTATGGTCGTCAAGGACGAACATGTATGGAATTTAGACGTGCAATGACTGCTGCTAATAATTTCAACTGTTCAATATCTCCCCAAATTCCAGTGAGTGCTAATTTTTAATTCTAACCAAAGAAAACTGCATACTTACCAACTATGTTCTTTATATGTCTATAGGTACATACTAGTATAATATGTTAAACGCGATATTTTAGTTCTTTATAATATTCAATATTGTAATGTTAGTTTTCTAAACATAAGTTTAGAATATTTCCGCGTTGTGTTGGTCTGTCCCAGGGACCGGAACATTACCGAAAAGAACCAGTTTTATAACAACAAATACTAAAAATTCTAGAATATAATATTATATTATAATATAAGAGGAGTTGTCAACATGTTTATAGCTGATGATGATACAGAATCATTCGTCCGACACTTGGCCGGTTTTTTATTTACTTATTCCTAAGCAAATGTTAATAGATATCTGGTTGAAAATTGGTATTGACCTGCCATAATATACGCCAATGCCCAATTGACAATACCAATATTTTATTATAATTTTTGAAACGGAACCAGATTTTTTTACATAAGTATAAAACATATTATTATATATAAAGCATATATTATTTTCATTATGTTACTGGGACAGGGACTTACTTACGTATTATATAAAATAATCCCAAACATTAATCGTTCGAAACTCGACTGTTCAATATTTAGTTCCGATGTATATTCTTCTGTGCCTAATATTGTTCTCTGAAAATGTTTTGATGGAACAATGATATAATTACTGCGACTACAGGCTACTGGCATATTTTGTCTGCAATATTATAGGTACATAATAATATTATGTTTGATAATTATTCTTTCGCAGATGAATCAGGCGACATCGTACATTGACGCGTCACAGTTGTACGGACACACATCAGCCAAGGCAAATTCAATGAGATCTTTTATTGGAGGGAGATTGTTAACTGAAGTCATTAATGAAAAGGAGTACTGTCCTCTAAGGAAAAGAAGCGGTTCATTATTATGTGACGGAAGAGATAATGTGACCGTATGTTTTAAAGGTGGTAATCGTATATACGCTAATTTTATGTTCCAATAACTATGATTTTTATTTTATTTAATTTTTTTAAACTATATTTTAATGATAACTATAAATTGTTATTAGTCTGCCGTAATACATTCGTTGTGCCTTAATAAATTGATACGATGTATCTAGTAAAATAATTTAACTCATACTTAATAGACACTGAATTTATTGCATTTAATTTTGAATAAATCGTAAGACGCAGTAGCGGATATGAGGGTGGGGCGAAGAGGCGTTGCCCCCCCTCCTTGGTCTGTCTTTTTAACGTTATATTCTATTATAATATTCAGCTAAACAAAAACACAATTTAATTTTTGTAAAATCCCCCCCCCCCTTGGGTGACTTCTGGATCCGCCACTGGTACACGTAATAATGTACATAATTACAATGTTCAGATAATAATATATACAATGTACCTAACACCTACTATAGTTGTTGAATAATTCTTACTTCGGCAGTCGTCACATCCATTATTTGATTACTATTTTACTTTTTAAAAAGATAAATTTACGTTTGAAAATAATTTTTTTTGTCAATGTCTTGTTTTTATAGAATGTTAAAAAATGTACCATAACTTTCCACATTTGTTTTCTCAAAACATTTTTTCCCTTTTTTATAGCCTTTTAATAAATTTTCAAACATCAAATTAAAATAACCTTTAATTTTCTTAACGAACAAATTGTGTTTATCGTTAAATACATTTATAAGATACCATAAAATATCTAAATAAAAAGAAATTAAATGCTATATTATATTATTATGTTGTATAACACTAATTTAATTTTCCATTGTTATAAATTCACTTACTCCTATTACAAGCTTCGATTTTTGGAGGGGCTTTGTCATATTATGTAAAATTAATATGTATATTAGTAATTGTTTTCTTTGTTATATGATTATGAAATGTGTTACATATTATTAATGTTGTTCAAAAAAAAAATTATAAACAATTTTTTTTGTAGGAGACCCAAGAATAAATCAACACTTTGGGATCACATCGTATAGTATTTTGTTTACCCGGTTCCATAATGTTGTGGCTCGTAAGTTACAAGAATTAAATCCACATTGGTCTGATGAAGTGACATATCAAGAAGCTCGGAAGATCGTCGGTGCACTAAATCAGATAATTGTTTATCGGGATTACCTGCCTATTTTACTTGGTAATTATTTTTTTGAATATTATTTAGGTAGATACCTAATCGTTAATGTTAGATAATAAAAGATACAACATATAATATAATAGCTATATTATAATATGGGCCAATACTTGTATGCATTTTTTATTCTAATATAGAATATTATATTAACTACCTTATATTTATAATACAAAAAAATATTCGATTTCCGTTTGCGAATAAAAGTATTAATTGTATGATCAAAAGTATAATATTTAAAAGTTTGGTATGCGTATTTTTTAAAAACCCATTCTTATTGAACATCTAGAGCATTAGAGGAATCACAATTCAAAATTTCAAGTTCATACGTTTTTTCATTTCGTGAAAAAGTAAGGTGGAATTTTATTTTATTTTGTGTGTTTATTCATGTGGCTCTATACTGTTGCATTTTAAAATTTAATTTTGCTGTACAGATGAAGCCACTGTCAAAAACATCCAGATTTACGAATTTTCCGGTATTTTCTCGAAAAATTCTCTTTCATACAAACATTTTTCCGACAATTATAAACTCAACAAAAAAGAAATCAGCCAAATCGGTCTAGTCGTTCTAAAGTGATGACATGATAAACGGGAGTTGACCAATTAAAATGACCTTTTTATAATATACCAATAATTGCGCTTCAAACATTTTAGGATTGATATACCAATTGCGCTTTATACATTTCAGGGTCAATAGACCAATTGCGCTCAAAACATTTCACAATACCTAAGGAAAAGTTATTACTAATAACTAATTATAATTATATAATAAATGATTACCTACACTAACCGATTTTTTGCGAGTATTAATGCATAATACACAATACATAATTTATGTATATAAAGTATAATATAAATAAATAAACAATTTTTTCTTCACATTTAACAAGTTACTTTTTGATCGTCAATTATATAAAATGTATGATAATGATAACTTGTTTTCGTCTATCACTCAAATGCATACTACCGTGATCAAATGTCCGTAATAATAATAACGTTTCATACAATGCCCAATACCGTTATAAAATGTATTATAACCAGTAATCAATTGATCAATAAAGACGTTTTAATTTTCAAGCATTTTAGTGTGTTTATGTTGACGACTTGACGTTGATGGAATTAAATCGAAAATCAATATTTCTAAATCTGAAGGTAGCCACCAGGCAAATTTGAATACAAGCGCAATTGGTATATTGACCGTAAAATATAAGAAGCGCAATTGGTACACTGACCCTAAAATATGAGCTGGGCAATTGGTATATTGACCCTAAAATACAAATTTTGTCATGGCGCATTTGGTCCATGCCCTTATAAACATGCGGAAATACATTTTTATTTATATGGATGAAGATATTTATAGTGTGAAGTGTGGAGTGAAATCTACACAAAAAAGACTTTGGCTCTTAAACTATATGTGGAACTTTTGATTGAATTCACTAACCTCGATTCTCGACTAAGCTCCAGCCCACCATTGTTTTATATTCTAAATTTGAAGCAATGACAAATCTGAAATCGTAAGAACAACTAGAAAACGATTTTTTTTAATATCAGCTAATTATTTGGTGGTTAGTAATGTAGGTTAATACGTAATGTCAATACCATTGTAATATTCCCAATTTGAGGTTTTGCATACCTATTTAAAATTATTTTTATTCATCAATAATATGTTTCGTAGATTTTCTTTAACTGTAATATAGTTATTGTAATAGTAATATGTTAGAAACGGTATATAAATGTATAACTAATGAGAAAAGAGTTAAATTTTTTTTATTAATTGCTGTTTAATTTCTAAAAATACCATTAACGTACCTTATATATAATATACACAGGTGAATCATTTACAAGCTGTGGTTTGGATCTCAGTAATAATATAACGTCAAAATACAATCCGAAAATGCAGGCAGATTTGACTATGGCATTTGCAGGCGGTGCTTTTCGAGTGCCACATAACACAATAGCTTCGCATTACAAGTAAACTTTTCCTATTTATGGTGAAATCTTATTATTATGTATTATTTGTATTTGAATTGTATTTATAATTTTGTTTTATTGACAGTTCCGTAGACAAAGATTATGAGACAGTCGATACAGTCAAACTTAACGAATGGATGTCGATACCTGATCCCTTAGTGAACGGTTCAAAACTTGACGAAATAGTCAGAGGCATGACTACATCAGAAGGCCGTTTTAATGACCCATCTTATAACTATCTAGTAAGTACCTAGTATCTACTATCTACTGTTCGTAAATAGTTCTCAAACTTATATAATGTAATATAATATTGTTTAACGCGATATTTTGATAATACTTAGAACATACTACCTGGTATAATACAATATATTGTATTCAGATAGGTACCCGAGTAGCAATTTTAATGTTCAATGTCGGTTTCCAATTACCGTGTTAAAAATTCGGTGTATACACTGTTTATGAACCGTTAACTGAACCTACAATGGTTCACTAAAAATGTTTTAACATTTTGAATAACCGAAATATTTTTAAATAATTCAATGTCAGTTATTCAGACCTTGCACGGTGCTTACAGTGTGCCGCAAAAACCGACATAAGTATATGGTGCTATGAAAATGTTCATACATATTCATTTAGTTAAAAGCTTGTGTTACAGTACCGTGCCATGCACATTGTTGCTCAGTGCCTGGTCGGTGTTATCAGCAATTTATGTATAATAATAGAAAATAGAAAATAATAATTGTCGTTTATATATATGCAATCGGTGACAACTAATAATAATATTAGATTTTAAGTCACTGGCCTATTATTAAGCGAGCGCTGTACCGTCAACATATTATAGTCCAACAATCATAGATATATTATGATTAATTATTTGTGGAAACCAGAATGTAGTAGATACTCTATGGTGGAAACACGGGACGCGGCGCGCTCTCTCTGAACGAGGTTAATTATTATAAGTTTTATTTTTGTATTTGTAATTTGGTAGTTGCTGTTTTTACATACAACTTTTAATTCTTTTATTGGCCATACTGACTGTGGAGTACTGGAGTGCACAATAGATTTTACGTACTGCGCGTATTTGGCGGTTACTTCGTTTGTTTATTGTTTCTGTGCTCATAGCTCATGCGACAATGCACTAATAGCCACTAAATAATATTTCTACAAAGTTGTATTGTATAATACAATAGCACGTGCTATTCTGATATGTGAGTGTGTTACTAGTTTTTGACTTTTTTTTATACTAATTGCGTTATTAGCAACGTCAACGGCTCAACACGCGTGTTCGCAAATTTCGTTCAATCAAAATGTAAGTACAATTATATTCTATAATCTATATACACGCTTTTTAATAACTTATACTTGCTCATAGCCTATGAGTATGAGCTTATGGTAGCGTATGCACTTTGCGTAGGTATACAAAAATAATGAAAAGTAGTGTGCGTTATACTCGTTCTATAAGCCACCAAATCAATAACTGAATAAGAAAATTGTTGAAACCAGCTAATTAAATTAAATTCATATTTTTTTCGCTATAGATATAGGTATTGGGTATTATAGGTACTGGATGAGGTAGAGCGATACTATTTAAGTTTGATCGGTACTGAACCATATGTCGATATCCATAATATTTATAAATCCTGATTCATCACTTAATTGTAAATTTATTTTGCATATTATATTTTTTCTACTTGTGTTATTTAAATATACAATTAATAGAAGTGTGAAACGATATGCTTTTGTATTAAATAGGTGCCTATACTATTACATTATTAGGAGTACCTATTATTAAGAGAAGTATTTTTTAGTGCTTTTGTATTAAATAGGTGCCTATATTAATATATTATTAGGATTAGGTACCTGGGGGAGTAACTATTTTTAAGAGTACCTACCTATAATATAAATTCCATGCAACAATTAATAACATATTATAACAGTACCTATATTATATTGTAATTCAGTATAATAATTATAATTTAATATAGTCCATAGATAATCAAGTTTTTGTTTCAACTAATATATCCCTATGTATTTACTTGTTTATGATAATTTCAATAGATTAGTGGATATTATATTTCACTTAGAAATGTTCAACAGCATTACCACTTATCATAGAGTCTGTGTGGTTAATGTATGAACAATTTTATAGGGAGGGGAGGGGAGGGGTTGACTATATTAGATAGATTCTAAAAAACTGAGCGTCTCAGACCATACTATTTTAAATATTTATATATAGGTATTATATTTGAATCATAAACATATGTTCCATTTTTTTACATTAACTGTATAATAACTATGATTTTGAAAGAACCAGTATTTATAATCTGTGCTTTCCCCCACTTTACCTAGGTACTGCATAAAGTGGGTACCTATTGACTATTTAAATTATTATTAGTTAAGGAAGTTCAATCAGATTTGTAGTATATAAGTATTAACAGATAAACTATGATGGTAACTTCACCAATTTAAGATTTTTATTATGTTTTGAATATGTATTGATACAATATGTTATTTATTTGAATACCTAAAATAAGTACATTTATTTCTTAGCTATATTAAATCATAAGTTACAATCATAAAAAAAATGTTGTTTAGGTCAAAGTCTACTCGTTATCGCTGTCGGAAAAGAGCTGCATCTCTTATAGATTCAACATTTTCAGCTAATAATGAAGTGAACATTGAGGATAACCAAAGACTACTTCCTTTATCGAACTCACCTTTACCTGCAGATTTACAGCCTATAAGTCCAGTAAAAGTAAATACTGGTTTAAATTTATTTGATTTTAATAGTGAAAATATTTTGAACCACAGTTCTAGTACTAGTAGTTCTAGTAGTCAGAGTAGTTCAGGTGAAGACAATTATACATCAGAAATTGATACACACGATGAAGATATTGAAGTAGTTATTGCCAAGTGGGCAAATAGGAATAATGTATGTCATTCAGTTTTAGATGACTTACTAGTTTCTTTATCCAAATTCCATTATTTCAAACATTTACCCAAAGATTCTCGCACGTTATTGCATACACCAGTTAAAACTGTATTAAAAAATATCAAAGGTGGAGTGTATTATCATTTTGGAATTTCAAATGAAATAGAATATTTAACAAAACTGAAACAGAATCTGCCTTCTAAATTGCTATTAGTTGTTGGTATAGATGGACTGCCAATAACAAAAAATCCAGCAAGCCAGTTATGGCCAATACTTGGCTATTTTACTAATTTATTTACTGATAAACCTAGGGTATTCATAATTGGTGCTTATTATGGGAAATCTAAGCCAGATGACTGCAATGAATATTTAGAAGATTTTGTCGATGAATTATGTATCTTAAATGATGTTGGAACTATCATTAAAGGTAATAAAATTAATGTAATGCTCAAAGCTATCATATGTGATTCTCCAGCTAAAGCATATGTTCTCAATATACATCACCACACTGCTAAAAATTCTTGTTTAAGATGTCATACTTTAGGCAAATATGAAAACAATCGTGTTTATTTTCCTGATTCGTCTGCTTCTATGAGAAATCATACTGAATTTATATCTTATTCTGATAAAGATTTTCATTGTGGTGAAACAATTCTGACAAAAATACCTAATTTTGACTTAATCAATAATATACCATTTGATTACATGCATTGCGTATGTATTGGAGTGATGAAGAAAATATTAACGTTTTGGATTGGTGGAGTTAAAAAACATCATTTGGCTCTTCCCAAAAATTTAATTTTTAATTTAGACAAAAAAATTAACATACTGGGAAAGTATATCCCATGTGAATTTCAAAGAGCACCAAATGAAAACAGCAGAAAGCATCCACTTCATGATGCATCCCGATTAAAAGCTTCAGAATTAAGACAAATATTATTATACACTGGAATGGTTATTTTTCCTGATATATTAAGTCAACAAATCTATGAGAATTTCATGGAACTCTGTGTAGCCATGAGAATTCTTTCAACAGCAAATATTTCAGAGGAATATACAGAATTTGCCAAATCATTGGTAAATCATTTTGTTGATTCTTTTGGTAAACTGTATGGAAAATCTTACTTATCCTCTAATATGCATATAATACAACATTTGGCTGATGATACCAAACAATATGGGCCATTAGACACTTTTTCTGCTTTTCCATTCGAAAACTACATGCAACCCTTAAAAAAAAAAATCAAAAGTGGTGTAAAACCACTTCAGCAATTAGTAAGACGGTATGCCGAAGATCAAATACTTTTTAAAGATGAAAACCAAAAATATAAAATTTCACTTGGGCCTGTCAATTATCGATGCACAATAAAAAATAGACCAATGACCAATGATGTCTTTGAACCACAGTTCACGGGTTGGAGGATGAAACGGTTTGTTATAAAACTTAATAGCTCTGATAATTGTGTTAAAATGAAGAATAATGATGTGGTAATTATTGAAAATATTGCTTCATCAAAATTAGATGGCAATATAATGATAATTGGAAGAAAATACAATACAGTTGAGAATTTTTTTGAAAAGCCTTGTGCTTCAAACTTGTTAAGTATATACAATGCATCTCAACTTAGTCACCTTCAATCGTGGATGTTAAGTGATATAAAAGAAAAATTAATGTGCTTGCCGCTGATCGATTATGACATAAATAACTGTGTCATACTGCCTCTATTGCATTTACAATAATCTGTTTGTTTAATTTTTTTTTATGCATAGTTTATTATTTTTATTGTATTATATTTTGTATTATTGTTGTGTTGTATTTATAATGTATAATAGTACTAATTTTGAATTCAAATACTGGAGTTCATATATAGACATAATTATACAAATAACTACCTAGGTTTCATTATGGTATAGATATAGGTGAATTAAATTTAATTCATGATACTGCCATCTACAAATTCTACATTTATATGCAAAATTGAAATCAATATATTTCATTAAGTTTTCATTTATTAAGGAAATTATACATCTAGGTATATCTGTAACTGAATATAAATCTTACAAATTGAACGTATTAATTACTATAGTATATATACATTTTTTAGGCCCTGGTTTGTTGTTACATTTAACATGACAAATGAAGTGCAACATGTTCCTAACACGTGGCTGTCAAATAATGTTTGTTGGTTTCCATTCATCCAGAGTGATATCAAAAAAATTTACTTTACAGTATCTCAAGTTGCTAACATGATAAAAAAGTGCACAGTACCTAACAAAAATGATGGGAAAAATTATGATGTCGTAATAAGAGCTGGACCATTTGGTAAGCAATAAATAAACTAAATAAATAATTTACTTGGACTTAAACATATAAAAAAAAATATTTGTTGAGAGGTATATATAATAGGTGTCTATACAATTGCTGGCTAACATCTGTAAAACTTGTTAACCATTAAATCATTTACTATAATCACTACATTATAATATAGTGAGTTACAATCCGAAAACGGAAAATGTATTAAATAGATACTCATATTTGTTAAGCAAAAAATATCTAAAAACTTTTATAGTAATTACAGTTCATTTTTTTTTAGATAAAGAGAGTCATGCCAAGAAGGTATCTAAAGCATGGTCAGGACCAGATGATTCTTCATCTGATAGCAATGTTAGTTTATCTCCTGAAAAGCCATCATCTCCTAAAAAGAGGAAAATTATGCCTTATTTTTCTAGTGTACAGGAAAATGAATTAATTGTAAACCTACCTAAGGCACCTACAACACCTATTAGAAAGACATGTAATATTATAATTTATTTTTAATCTATATTATAAACTAAATATAATATCTATTTAATATTATTTTTATATTAATAGCGTCTACTAAAAATAGCATACCTGTTTCCTTGGATTTGATCTCACCTCTTATCTTAAAAGGTAATGTAATGCAAAATTAAAGAATATTATTACAAAAATATAATATTTTAAACTTTTTTAGTTGTATTTATTTTGTTATAAAGATTTTACATGTAATATATCTATAAATAATATTATTTTTAATTGGTAGAGTTATAAAACGTACCTATATTATATTATAATATTAACATTTTTAAAAATATTTTCTTGGGTAGATATAAGTACTAGTTCTACAGTAAGTTCCTCCGACATTAGACCATTAAATAATTCTACTGTTGATGTTTGTGCCCAATCAACTCCAAATTCATCCAGTAACTTAATAATTAAAGACAAGACAAATACAAGTGAATATAATTTAATTCAAATTATAATCTTAAATTGTTATTGTGAAATATAATAATACATTTTATTATTACTGTTATTATAGACTGTAGCACTGCATTTTGCTCATATGATCCTGGGAATTTTAATGTAGTAACAACCATTAATGAAGTTGGTGTGGAAAGTAAGACAATATTAAACTGTTAACTGTATTTTATTTTTGAATGACATGATTATGTAATTTAATCACATAAATTAATTTTTACAGCAAATAATTCCTGTGAGTCAGTCATGACTGATTCTAAGAAAATTGAAAAAAATAGTGATGTACCAATTGAATTTGATATTAATAATATGGATGAAAACATTAGCTCTAATAGCGTTAGAAAAGGCAAGTTACTTTATATATTTATGTAATCCAACTATTTTTATGTATTTTTTATTAGTAATAGTACCTAATTTTTATTAAAATGTATTTAGAATTATTTGGCCACAATTCAAATGAAGATGAAGAATTAATAAAAAGTTTAGATGACGGTAGTACTTTAACACAGCTTATTTTAGAGGCTCAAATAAATGATGATTTTTTTATGGAAAGATCTACTAACTGTGATAATTCAAGTCTTGTTGAAAACACACAAAATGGTTTGTCTGGATATTAAGTTTTTAATAATATGCATTATTATGTATTGCCAACTATAATTTTATTTTCAGAAAATTGTTGTTGTAAGAATATTACTGAGCTTAAGTCTATTTTAAAATCAAACAACAAGTCTGTAGAATCTACACTTAAGCAACTGATGACTCAGATTTTCATACTGAATAACTCAAATACCAGGATTTGCAACGCTTTTAAAACAATGGACCAAAAAATTCAAATGATTATGAAGTCAAATGACAAGACAAGATCCTTGGCGCTACCTATACCCGTGTTACCCTCATCTTTAGTCGGTGTATTCCCAACCAAATCAATTGATGAGGTGGATGCTGTGGAAGCACTTTTGGCCGATAACGAAGATGGGTTGAAAAACCAAGAGGAATTGGTGAGTAAAAATAATAGTCGTGAAATGCTATATAAATTTTAAGATACATATAATATTTAATATAGATTATAATATCTGTACTTAAATGACAAGTATATATAAACATTTTCAAGTATAGTAATATATTATAATTTATTATCCATTTTCACTATAATATATTAATTGTATGTTTAATTTATATAATAGAATAATTATTATATATTATATAGGTTACCTATATATGATCCTGTATACAGGATGTTAAATCAGGATTTACTTATTGCGATAACTACTGAGATGATGGAGATATCACGATTATAGTTTTTTTTTTATAAGATTCATTGACAAGTACTTAAAATATTTCATATTTTAATCTATTTTAATTTTTTTGAACAAATTGAGAGTATAGTTTTAAAAATTTTATTTTTTTCCCTTTAATCTATTGATTTTTAATCATTTTTTTTAGGAAATACTATACTACTCTAAGTATGATAGCAAAAATTCAGTTTTGTCCAGTTAGCATATTATGTTCCATTATGGGTAATGTCTAAATCCTATAGTGGTATATTTGGACATATATAATAAATATATTATTTTAATGCTATATATATATATATATATATAACTAATAATTTTATACTGTACTTATTTATATATAACATTATATACCTAATATAAAGGTTTAATTTTATGTGAAACTGAATATTTTCAAACATTAATTAATAATTATGTTTTGATTTGTATGTTTACAGAAATCATATCTTTACATAAAATCATCGAACACATCTACATTTAGTGCAGCGATAAGGCATACAATTGATACATGTTTTGAATATCACATTTTAGCTTTATTTAGTTATAAAGGGAAAACTAAACGATCCTTTATAGACCTAAAATTATATTCAGTTATTTATGGTGAGTTGAGCAATGTTTATTTAATCATTCTTATTTATACTTCACTAGTTCATTTTAATATAGATACTGTCGCAAAGTGACAATTTTAATTTTCATGTTCTAAAATATCATTATAGGAATTAAAAACTGAAAATAACTTTTTCCACTAATTTAAATGTATTATGTTTCAGAAGCTTTATCTGGTTTCCGAACATCTCCACTCGAAGAGCAAACGTTCCACAAGGTTACTGACAACTATATTCGACATGCCTTTAAAAAAGACACCAATACACCAGTTTCAAATTAATTTGTGTTTTAAATAAACACTTAAATCACTTGCTATCAAAGTTGTTAGTTTTTTTTTTTTTTATTGATATTAATAATGGTTTTATTAATACTAGTTTTTTGTTACTTTATGCATATTAAAAAGTGTTGATACTATATAAATATTATGTTTTATTTATCACAATATAATATGTGGATTAGGTATTATATAGGTTCAATCAATTGAGAATCCAATCTTTTAAAGGGTGGCCTAGATATTGTTTATAATGCAGAAACACTAAAATTAATTGTCAATTAATTTTTTTATGGAAGCTTATTAGTTTTTGTTTGAGACTGAGTATCTGGCCCACACTATTTGTTTTTATGCCTATGAATGAATAATTACACATTTATAAAAAAATTAGATTCAATTAAGTTATTTAATACAGTTATGGTAACTTGTATAGTTATTGGCACCTTAAGAATTTGTTTTTGTTAGTTACTAATTATTGGCACCTAACCTGCTCCATACGAAATCGAATAGCAAATTATCAAATAAATAATCATATAATATTATAATCGAAAAAAAAAATATCTCTAAAATTCATAGTCAAACATTTTATATACGAAAAACAAAATTACTTGGTGCCAATAACTATACAAGTTACCTACCATTGAATATACCATTGAATTTTACGCAATTTGTGTTCAGTGCTGTGATTCATAATTGAACCGTTCAAACACCGACATTTACATTAATGGTGCACAGTGCCGTGAATCATAACTGAACCGTTAAAACACCGATATTTACACTAATGGTGCACAGTACAGTATAAGTTAATTTCTAGATACAACACGGTTATAACACTGACCTACGCACGAATCGAGCACAGTGTTCCGCATGTAAAAAATCGGTATTCAAATGGAAAAAAACACCATGCCCTGAACCGAAAATGCACAGAGTTCAACACGTAAGCTGTAATGATATTTTAACCATCTCTGAACTTGAATTGCTACTCGGGTAGTGTTCGAAAGTATTTGGGTAATGTACCTATTTCAATAGTCTTATAGGTATCCAAGGTTATTTTTAATATTTTGTAATCAAGTATTTTAATTGTAATTTAAATTAAAAATTGAAAATTAAAAAAAATTTAAAAATTTAAAAATTAAAAATTGAAATACATCCTTATAATATTGTAGTCAAATATTAACTATTTTTATTTTGTACCTATTAAACACTTAATTTTTCTATTACCTACGAATGTATATTTCAGAAAAATTATTTATTAAAGAGAATAACATACACTTTAGTAAATAAAAAATAAAATATTATAATTATGTATGTAAATACAAGTTTATAGTTATAAATTAGTAGTTTAAGATAGGTAGGTACTTCCTTGTTAAAGTATTTGGCATTCACTTTTTTTAAAAAAAAAATGGCTAAAGTATTAACTTATATCTATTCATCAATTGTTTTTTAAATAAAAACATTTTCAAATGTATTTTTGCTGTAAATTTTCAATATAATATGCTCTAATATTTAAAGTACTGCATATAATTAATGTAATATTTGTTTCATGAGTATACAGACACACATATCGCAGTACCTAAATAAAGTTGTATAGAAATGTGTATATAATTGTAGACCTTGATAAATCCTCACTTTGGTCAATGTTATTTATTATAACAATTATTATTTCCTATTATACAATCACTTCTTATGATGTTATAAAATAACACACACTATACTTTCGTTGTTTTATTTGAGAATAGTAAAGTTGTCCGGTCTATTTTTAAATACGATCGGCATAAGCTATAATGACTCAGTTATTACTTATTTTATACTTCGACTGACAGGGAAAAAATCTAAGACAAACATTTTTTTTTCTAACTATATAAATATTTAAACATATTTTTTTATAGATATCAAATTTCATGTTCCATGATCTGGATTTGCTCTCAGTGGACATTCAGAGAGGGCGCGATGTCGGAGTACCTCAATATATTAAGATGAGGAAATGGTGTGGTTTACCAGAAATCTGTTCATTTGAAGATTTATTAAAATTTTTATCATCTAAAGTAAGTCGATATAGATTTTTTTTTTCTCAAAAACGATACTGGATTAATAATAATCATGTTCTTAATTATGAAGTTAGAAAACACAAATATTTAAAATGTTGTTTTTGTCTGATTTTTAAATAAACACTTACTATTTTTACATTGAAATTACTTAAGACTGTTAATATTTGCATATATTTTTTAATACCAAAAGTTATTTTATACCCAATTTATTTTAAAACTGTGAGGTGTTGTACTATGACGATTTACATCATATTAAGTTAATGTGTTATCAAACACTTGATCTTTACTTAACTCTAAATTTATAGTGAATTGTAATAGTTGTCAACCGTGGTTACAGGTTGTCAAAAAACTGAAAGAACTGTACGGGTCTGTTGGTGACATTGATCTACTCGTGGGAGCTTTACTCGAACCACCAGTCGATGGTGGAACGGTTGGTCCAACTGCACAGTGCCTCATAGCTGATGTATTTCACCGTATTCGATTCGGTGATCGTTTCTTTTTTGATGTTAAAGGTCAACCGGGAAGCTTTTCTCCAGGTTTGTGTTGGTTTTTTTTTTTTTAGGTTTTTTGAATTAATTTATGAATATCAATATTGCTGTTATATTTGTTTATGATATTAGAACAATTGAGCAGTTTGAAACAGATGGATCTTAATCTCTTACTATGTGTCACAACAGAAATTGCTGAATTTCCACCTAATATTTTTGAGCCATCAAGGTAAATATATATTTTTAGTTTAATGTGGTATGTACAGTAACAAAAATATTTAATATTTATCTTTTATACTCTATTTGAGTTAAGAAGCAACCCCGGCGCGGCCGATTTGTGTGCAGGGGCGTGGCCAAGGGGAGGGGGACAAGTGGATATTCTTGCTCCGGGCGCTGTTGGTATTAGGGCGCTCATGCGCTCTTAAGTTTATGACAATTTCAAAATTGACGAACATAACATATTATGTATAAATTATACATATTTCCAAAACATAATAATAGGTACCTATTACACAGTCATTCGTTATGTAACATTTTGAACGCCGAAGTCAACTCGTAGGTGACACAATAGTAACTGCAAGCGCAGGTGTCAACAGGGGCGCTTAATTTTCGTCAGGAAAAGTGAATTCAAATCATAATTCGTTAGGAATTATGATGGATATTAATTGATTTGTTTTTTTCCAAACTGCGGTTATTTCAGTTTTTAATCTTAAAGGGACGTATACCTGGAAAAGGAAAGTCTTGTCAAAAATCACTTTCTTTTAACTTAAAAATATACTGACTAACATTTTAAAAAGATAATTTTCGATATCAGAAATTGATATAAATATTTTTAATACCTATTTTTCAATGGCATATTACATATTACGTATAATATTACATTACAATATTACATAATATTGTCTAAATCATTTCAATTAGAGAAACAAAATAAAGAACTGACCTGAAAAAATAGAAAAAATTAAAAGGTCTGTTTTAAATTTAAACCTCTCAATTTTTTTCAAAAACAGAAACCAATGGTAAGCAATTTTATCACCTTTAAAATTAAATTATATACTTTTATTTAAATTTAAAACATTTAATCAGGGTTAGGACATAGGATATTTAAAACATTATGTTTTGAACTCTAGAGTTGATAGTATAAAAAAGGTCATTACTTATTTTTGAAATATTCGGGTACTTACCTAGTAATTGAGCAGACATTAAGTATTGAGTAAAAAACATAAGAAATTACCGAAAACTCATTACCTAGTAGCATTGGTGCAACTGGGGGGGGGGTGTAAAAGGGTCTTTAGCACCCCCTTTTTTGTAGGTCTAACTATCATATTATTATAGTGAAGTACCATAAATGTTATGTTTTTAAAATATGAAATATTATAGCACCCCACATTTTAGAGGTCTAGTTGCGCCAATGCTTAGTAGGTACATAAATACATTTGGTTTATTCTATTATAATTATTATACAGAAAATAATAATTATGTAAACTTCACAATTTCACCAATATTAATTCATTCGTGGTCATTTTATTGTCAGATTTTTTTTTAGTTGTGCGTAATATTATAATCCAAAAAATCTTGTCGGAGAAAATTATAATGTTAATACATTTTATAAAAATGTTTTCTAATACTTTCGAATATACATTTAATTGGTTCTAGTATAATATTAACACATTCTGTATTGAACCATGTGTGTATTCTAAACATATTTTTTAATTCTGTTGAGGGACATGAAACTATAGACTGTTGGATATTTGGATAGGATCATCAATATCCCGTTAATAGAATTCAAAACTATGTTTAGGCTACTGTGTAATGTAAATAAGTGAATTATGGAGTGTACCCAGTTTTCGCGTACACACTGTATATAAAAAAACAACGATTTCAAAAAAATATTTGTATTATAAAAATATACTGTTTGATTTGTATTTAAGCGTTTAGTTTAGTGTTTTCGAAAAATCGATTTTGGTTTATGGTGCAACTCGAACACAAATGACCGTAGGTACAAGAAATGTTGACTGAATGTTTATATTAGCATTTTCCATACACCATAACATTTTCTAAATATTTTGACTTATTTTGAACTCTTTACGGACATTTTCAGTTTCCATTTTTTTTAGTTTTTTTTTTATAAATATCATTCAAATTTTATTTGTTGGGTACAAAAGGCTCCTGATATATTGTTACAATATAAGTTGAAAAATATTAAAAAGACGTAGGCACAATTTTTTTTTTATAAGCATTTAAAGATCGAATTTCGACAAAATTTATCAAATTTAAAATTGAATAATTATTTTGTTGTTAAAAAATTATAAAATGTTCAACTTTTATATCTAAGGATTGAAAATTTAAAACAAGATTCCACGTAAGTAGTTAATTCTGTTACCAAAAAATCTAAAAAATACATAAGCACAGTTTATTTTTATAGTAATTTTAAGTTCAAATTTGGATGAAATTACATAATAAAAAACCTAGAATAACTATTTAAGTTATTTTGTTGTGACTGTATAATATTATTATTCGTGGGTACTTGAAACATCTAAAGTACACTATTATATATATCTATGATAGGTAGTATCAGGATTTGTTGTTGATGTATAACGCGTTATAACTTTATAAGTAACTAACGGATATTGTGATATGATTAATTTGGAATTTATTATAGGTAAATTTTTTTTAATACCATAGATATGTCTTATACCTAGATTGACATACCGTCCCCGCTCAGAATCGTTTTTCTTATACAATGATATTATATCGTTGAATTCAAATTTAATACTATCCATTATACAGTGACCCACTTGTAACCTACTGCACAGCAGAGCACCTTTTTTTATTTCACCTTTTGAATATATATGGTTGAAAATAATAACACTGATTGTTAACTATTGTATGTTTCAGATATTCACAAAATATGATCAATTGCCAAGATCTAGACTTGGATCTTAGTGCTTGGAGAGAATCTCCATAGTTTAACGGATACATGTAAAACGTCAATTCATAGGAATGAGCTATAATTTAAAATTATAAATAAATAAAATAAATACTAACATGTTAAATAATATATTTTACAATCAAAATAATTTAAGTAACTGTCTTGCAAGCCCAGATTATTACGAAACCTTTAGACTATAATATAGGCTCTGGGCCCTGGGGTTTTAGGCCCCATGAACCGATCAAAATACGGTCTTGTTCTTTATATGTACCACTTTCCCTCTTTTTTATTTATTAATATCAATAATCTGACAACTTTCTGGTGTCATGTATTAACAATTACCAAAAGTTAACTTAACTCTAAGGTACCGTGTATATTTAAGTAGGTTATTTGATGATGAAGTAAATACAGTAATTCTTTCAATTTTTACCTCGTTCTACGTATATTTTAAATGAACCATTGGAATTTTTAACAATTGAAATTACTTCGAGAGGAGTTTGGTTTTCAGTAACAAGCAATCTAAAAATTATTAATTGCGCATATAAATCTAACGCATCAGTATCTTTTGATTCTCCATCAGTTAAACGATTTTGAAGGGCCATGCAATGTTTTAATAGATCTGTATTGGCCATGTTGGTCAATTTTCCAATTCGAAATAAGAAACCAAAGTCATCTTTATAAGATTCAAGTTGTTTAAAGAGTGTTTCCATTGAACATACCTAGATCAACAATATATAAAAAATATTCTTGTCGAAAAATACCCTCCGCATCATTTACTATACATCGTAGCCTTCATAACTGAACATTTTTTTTTTTTTTTTTTAATCGACGTGTTTTATAATTTGTATCAATACCATTTTCTTCTCAAATTTCTTTTTCAGCTAGAACAGAATTTTCAAATCCTGTTTGTCCAAATGATTTAAAAAAAACTAAAAGAGTTTGCAACATATTAGTTGTATCAATATTTTTACCTTGCAAACTTTTGCTAACAACATTCACTTCTACTAAAATACTGTATATTTTGTCATCGCGTTGTTTTTTAATTTTCTTTTGAAATATCCACTTGGATATACACGTTTGGATATGATTAATATATATGATTATAATTTATAAAATAACGTAAAAACTAAAAGGTATTACAAATGTAATTTAGTCAGTTAGTTAGTTCATATTAGGTACGTAATCCATAAACGAAACGAAAACAATTTGCTAGGTAAATGTACTGGGTACACTGTACAGTGTACACACTACACACTAGTCGACTTGTGTCTTGTACAAGTACAATGTACACATTACAAGCTACACGGCTGTCGGCTGGAATTATTTACCTATATTTTTACAACATAAACAATTAGTACCTAACGAATAATGATAACACTAGAAACGACCGCTTAAGGTTTTTCGAGTTATTTTTAAAGTTGTAAACGTGATCACCTAATGGCTAACGAGTTATTGCAATATTGCCGTTATCGGTTGTTATTATTGACCGAGGTGTTGTATTTACTATTTATCGTAGTATTTTAGTAAGCTGCATTAATTATTTACAAAAAATTATTTTAAAGTTGCGTGCCATAAATTAAATAATTTCTTTTTCTCAGCTTGCCATAAAATTATGAAAAACAAATAAGGAGATATGGGGGGCACGGGGCCCCGGTCATTTGCACGGAGTGCCCCTCCCCTTAGCCCGGTCACTGACCTAAAGGTTTTTTTGGTTGTTTTTTGTTACCAACCTATCATGTAACTTGTCAAATGTCACTGTTGACGTCATGTTCACAACACACACAAGCAATATAAGCTTGGTCGACATGTGCAAGTATTTGTTGGAACATATGATTTTGATTGATGTCAATAAGATAATATTTATAGAATTATGTGACATTAGCATATCATAGTATTTATTTTTGACGTGTATATAATATTACACCTATAGAACCCCACAACAGTAGTAATAAGTGCATTCATTTTTATTCATCTCTCTGTGTATTAATCTAGATAATATAATTTTTCTACAGGTAATATAGATAAGCTAAAAACTCTCAGTTTAAGGTAGGTATGCATTATTTGTATGGTAAAAATATGTAGTGAAAACTACTAAAAAATATTTCTGAGTGAAGCTCAGACTGAAAAAAATATACTATAGTATACTATAGTGCTTACTGCTTTGTGCTTAGATATTGTTGTAATATCGATGCAATCAATATATTACAATAATTAATAAACAACAATAAATGGGGACATCACAACTAACACAAATAAGTAGTGTGTCGACATTATGAAGACACATAGATCAGCATAATTATATCAAATCGATGCACTGCTTACAGACATGCGAGTAACACACAATACACCTATCTCTTGGACCTGAGTGGTGAGTGTAAACGAATTCCAGGAGAAGGTTGTCTTGTGTGAAGTGTTGTTCCTGTTAAGGCAGTATTCATGTATGTGAGCATTATCTTATCTTTTTTTTATGTATATATTATCATTGACTACCTATTAGAATCTTAGGGATTAAGGGGGTTGGAGCATAGCATATTTTAAGGAGTAATATTTAGGCAGTTTATATCACATGTATATTTGAACGGTGTCATTCTTGAGTAGTGAATGAACATTAGTGTATGTCCTTATTGTCCATTAGGCTAATAATAATGGTAATAAAATGTCGTCTACGATTCTAAGAACAGTCTCACACAAGTACACGCATGCGCAGGTCACCGAATTTAATTTTTGATATTTTTCAATTTTTAATTCGGTACAAAATAGATACCTATTATAAGAGAAAGATTTATTTAGCTACTTCTCATGACCTGATTCAAATTTTTAAAATATGTCTGTATTCGATAACTTTTTTACTAGGTTATGTATAGGATAAAAAAATTGATGTAAGTGTATAAAATAAAAATACTTTCATATTTTTTTAAAAAGTAAATATATTTTGTATGCCTTATTGAATATAAAAATCAAAAATTATTATTTATTGTTATTTCAAATTATAACAAGGTGCGTGACGCTGGCACCCGCAAGTTTGAATTTCAACTCAAAAACCGCATCAGTAATTGTTATACAATTTGTACAAATTTGTAACCCCAATTCCAAAATTTGTACACCCCCCGGTCGCCCGTAAAATCCAAAAACAATTTCCGGGTGCCAGCATCACGTGACACTGGCACCCGGATTTCGATGTATTTGGCCTATCGACCCAAAAACCACATCAGTAATTGTTATACAATTTGTACAAATTTGTAACCCCAATTCCAAAATTTGTACACCTCCCGGTCACCCGTAAAATCCAAAAACAATTTCCGGGTGCCAGCATCACGTGACACTGGCACCCGGATTTCGATGTATTTGGCCTATCGACCCAAAAACCACATCAGTAATTGTTATACAATTTGTACAAATTTGTAACCCCAATTCCAAAATTTGTACACCCCCCGGTCGCCCGTAAAATCCAAAAACGATTTCCGGGTGCCAGCGTTACACCCCACTTTTTGTACAGTCGACTTTTTGACTCCAAAATGGTACCAACGATTGTTATTTCATTTGTACACATTTGTAATCCTAACTTAAACATTTGTACACCTCCCTGAATGTCCCAAAATTAATTTCAATGGTGCTTACTTCAAGCTGCCCCACGGATTTTTTCTATCGAATCCAGACCTCTTCTAAAATTTAGTAACAATTTAGACATTTAGTAACTAATTGTATCTGACATCAAATTATTTGTACCTAACCAAACAGTTTCCGAGAAAACTCAATTTCCATTTCGGGGGCCTAACATTTTATTAGGTTACTATATCTGATACCTACAAGAATCTTCCAATTATATTTGACTTCAAACATGTTTATGAAGATTATTTTTTTTGTGTGTCTGTGTACACGATAAGTAGTCGAAATAATGCTTAGATTTTCAACTTCTGTATCTTGTTCGATGGGAAAATGAATATTGTTGGTGCATTGGGCAGGTCAAAATTCCCAATAGCTTTCAAAAGTGTGGGGAAAAACAGCATAAAAATTAAGGAAAAATGGGAATTTTTACGGAAAAACGGTTTTCCACAAAATTGATATTGGTTTTTGGTCTAACTCTAAAACAAATGAAATTTTCACTGGTCGTTTATATTTGCATTTTCTATACACGATAAAATGTTGAAAATATTTTGACTGTTTTTGGGCTGTTTACTTTTTTTTTCTATAAATATCAATAAAATTGTATTTGTTGGGTAAAAAAGCGTGAACATTTAATGCAACGCTCCTGATATATTGTTACAATAGCAGTTTAAAAACACATGTGCACAATTTTTTTTTATAAGCATTTAAAGTTCAAATTTTGACAAAATTTAATAGTTATTTTGTAGTTAAAAATGTATAAAATGTTCAACTATTATAATAGTTATATATTAGCTAAGGATTGAACATTTAAAACAGGGTTCCACATAAATAGGTAAATGTTATATTTAAGATATACCTAGGTAGGTACCTACATATTAAATATAATTTTTGCATAAAAATAAGAAAGATGGTAAAAGTTATAGGTACCTATTTAATTATAATTATATTATTCAGTACTTACATTTAATGGGCGCCCGGGAATTGGGCCACAATTCACCTTTTTTACATAGGTATATGGTAATTGGGCCACCAAAATGTTATATTATTTTATTAAAGGTAGGCCCGGTAATTGGGCCACTAAAATTTTATATTTATAATAGGAAGACCCGGTGATTGGGCCACTATTACATTTTAAATTGTAATAAAATAATATTGATGTCAGATGGTTAGGTTAGGATGTCAGAGCACTATTTGTTTACTCTAAGATTACTTAAAATCATAAAAAAAAATATTCTAATTCTAAATGCGTTTTGTCTATGTTGTGCGTATACATATTTTTTATATAAATTGATACAATTCCTAATACTGCAGCGCACACGAAACTTTACTTGAAGCGACTGCGTATGCCTTATCAAAAGGTAATAAATTATCCAATATCTTATGATGTAGAATTATCAATTGTCATCAAATGAAATGGATAAAAATAGTCATACGCGTATAGTGTGCAAAGATTATGAAACATTGTAAATTGTGATCGTTTAGTTGATTAGCAACTATACGATCGACATCTAGTAGTACACGCGTGGTTCGTACTTCGTAATATAAAGTAGGTGCAATGGAAGTGTTAATGTCCGAAAGAGGAAAAAATTTATTAATTTTTAATAATTATAAATTTTCTTTTGCTCATGAGAGTCAATGTGGCAAAACTCGTTGGCGATGTGCCAAGAAAACATGTCCAGCCAAAATGTATACAATTTCAAATAATATACAAATGGGTACGTACATGGGTACATACTCGAACTACAAATGCCGTCGAGTCTTTTCATTCACATTTCAAAAATAATTTCTATATGTCACATCCAAATATACATAATTTTTAATTAACACTTTTCTTAAGTTTGGTTTCACGTCCGTCTGTGATCAAATCTTGCGCGCTCGATTTGAGGCACTTTTTGAAGATGAAAAATTCTGAAAATTGGTATAGACCTTGGTCTTGGATGACAATACAATAATCCGTAAAAAAAATTTTTAACTAAAAAGTAGAAAATAAAAAATAAAAATTTTTTTTTAAAAAACACTTTTCTAAAAAAACAAAAAAATAATGAAAAATTTAAAAGTGTGTGGCGCTCTTACACTTGACATATTATACCACACACTTTTAAATTTTTCATTATTTTTTTGTTTTTTTAGAAAAGTGTTTTTTAAAAAAAAAATTTTTATTTTTTATTTAAATGTTTTATTGCAACTTCAATCAGAAGTTTATATTAAGATTAAAAGTATAGGAACAATAAAAACAAGAAAGGAACTTTAGTTCGACAACATTTTATTCTTAATGAAATTAAAAAATATGAAGAAGGGGAAAAAACCCGATTTGAATAATATGTACAATCTGTATCATGTTATTTAAAAAAAAATTATTATATTAGGAAAAAATTATTTATATTTATATATTTATTTATATTTGTAAAATGAGTATTGGCATTATTTATAAAAATTATTTATTATTATTTATTATTGGACTGACTTTATAGATCGAAATGTCTTGTATTATATTTTTATGTACCTATTAGAAAATGTTTTTTCATATTATTTATTTTTTGACTAACTTTATGGTCCTTATATTATATTTGTAAAATGAGTATTAGCATTCTTTATAAAAATTATTTCATATTTGACTAATTTTATGGACCTTGTTGTATATTAAATTAGTTAAATCTGTATGGAAGTATTTAAAAAAAATATTAATTATTTGACGAATTGTATTTTTATATGTTAAAACAATAATAATTAGTTAATAAACATTATTATATATTCGTATTAATAGTATATTTGTGTGATATACTTTTATGGCCCAATCTCCGGGTACACTTTAAAAATATATATTTAATTTGTGGCCCAATATCCGGGTAGTAAAATGTAAACAAATATTTTATTCGAATCAGGTAGTTAAAATGTAGATCAATTAACGGGCGCCCCACTTAATAACATTAATTTAAAACAAAAAACATAAGATAGTAGGAATGCAATAAAAGGTTAAATTACGATTATAAATCGTTTTTGGATTTTACGGGCGACGGGGGGGTGTACAAATTTCGGAATTGTGGTTACAAATTTGTACAAATTGTATAACAATTACTGATGTGGTTTTTGAGTTGAAATTCAAACTTGCGGGTGCCAGCGTCACGCACCTATTATAACAGTATATAGATTTTGTTTAATATTTATTTTTTCTTATAAAAGAATAATTCTCGTTCAACATTTTTGTATAATAAACATTTTTTCTTTATACTCAAATAAAAAAAATATATTGATCAACGAACTTAGAATTGATAGAAATTCTAACTAATTTTATTCTAACTGAAGTTTAACCTGGTAATAGATTCTATAAATGAATGTACCTTAACACAAAAAGTGTAAGTTACTACTTAAGAGTGTCTGCTGACAAGTGCCTAGAAATAAACTAACATTAACAAATTATTTGGGGGACTGATTGAGTATAGTTTCACAAATAAGAAAAACTCTTAGGGTGGCTGTAACAAGAGAAATCATTAAAAAATGTCTTTTCTCGTTTTATCGGCAATTATAATATTATTAGAATTAACTAAATTATATGATTATTGTGGGCTTCTGGTTATAAAACTGAATTGTTATTCGTATTATTGCATATTGGTATATAATATGTATACTATAATATCATTCTAGTGTACCAATTAATTATAATGATATAAAAAATTTACAAATCCGAGAATAAATATTTCGAAATCGTTTAATAGTTTGTTCCTTTCTGTTATAAAGGGTTGTTCACATTTTTAATCCACTAACCCAATTGGATTTACTTCAGTTTTGTGAATTTAGAGGTATTTGAAGTGTATTTACAGAGTGAGGGGAGTTTAACTAATTTAACACTTTCACTCCTCCATAACTTTGTGCCTTAACTATCTCTATCAAGTTTAATTCAGGACGCAATTTATTGTAAATTAAAGAAGTGGATCATTTCTTCCTCATACTAAAATCACATTGTCCTGTGAAATGAAAATGAAAAGTTTAGATCATTAATGTATTACATGCTTTGCTTATTGCTTATATGATTTTTGTCTAATGAGCAATGTTTATTTACTAAATTACTCTATGTCTAAGGTTTAAATTCATTTGTACAAGGATGTTAAATTTGTTTGTTTGGTTATCTTTCATATCAGTGTTGAGAACTTCAATAAGTTGTAAAGTAAGTGGTAATTAATACATTATTAACAAAATAAAAAAATAATTAAGAACCCAATAGATTTTATTTTAATATTAACTATTTAAAAAAAAGTAGTTTTTATAGTATATAAGTTACCTAACTTACTTAACTGCACTAGGTAGATAATTTAAATTAAATGTTGTTTTGGAAATAATTTGGAATTTATTTGGAAATAAACGCAAACTGAAATATAAAAGTAAAATAATTACTTAATAAATATTTAATGTAGTATGACGTAATCTTCTAACTATGTAAACGTGACTACTTATATACTTATATACTTTGATACAGCTAACCACAAAAACTATGGGACCGATTTGTTTGATTATTTTTTTTGTCGTATTCGTAATTGTCAGGATAAGGTATGAAAGAAAGAAAATTTTAGTAAAACCCATCTGAAAATTAAGAAATCTAATAGAAATATTGTGTATGATTGAAACGTTGTTATTTCTCCTAAAGATGATAACCGATGACAGATAAACAGACTAACTTAAGAAGAATAGTCATTACATACATCACTCCTCTTAAAATCTCAAAATATATAACTGTTTATTTTCTTTATTTCTTTATTTATTCTATTAAATATACCGAATAAACCTTTTGGACATATTATATACACATTATACATATCTAGTTACACATTAATTGTACAAATTATTATAAATAATAATAATAATAATAATATTAACAAAAGTGAGTAATAAATTTGATATAGGGACATGGGGTTTGGTTAAATCACTGAATACGTGAAACGAATTTCAACAATGCAAGTGTGGAACCATTATAATAACAATTATGTGGGTAATGGGTAGCTCTAGATATTTATTTATCATTATAAAATAACTAAGATAAGCAGTTAATCTATTTGAATTTTGAACATAAACTTATTGGTATTATTTCACATGTAAACTGAAATTGAAGACCTTGTGATTTATCATGGAGATGGTCCTCAATCAAATAGCATATATTATGACGAGTGTGCGCCCACGGTGACTTGCAATCGAAATTCTATTTATAGGACAGCAAATGGCTCATGTAATAACCTAGAGAACCCGTTGTGGGGGTCGTCTGAAACTCCATACATCAGACTTTCTGAAGCTGCTTATAAGGATGGTGAGTTTTTACAGTGAAAAGTTTTTCAAAATACTAAAACATACCATTGAGAAATATCTAAAACAATCATTTTCAATGAAGATGGCTGGACAATTATTTGCATGTGATATCTATAACGGTACTGAAAGCCTGGACTTTTGATTCTTATCTAAATGAGAAATGTTTAATATAAAACGAGTATAATATTATGAGTTATAACTTATAGTGTGTTTTTGTTTGTTAGGTTTATCTATTATGAATTATATGATTAATGAAGAAGGATTGCTCCAATAGTTCCAAATAGCTCTACGGTCTATATCATATATTATATTGATCAGTCATATTTATTTAGTTGGTTAAAATAAAGATTACCTTGAGATAAAAATTACAAATAGTGCTCAGAAATTATAAATGTTAAAATGAATAAAAGTACCTATGAATGTACTTACATTGTATTAAATACTAGCTGAATTACCTTGCGTTGCAGTTGGCCGAAAAAAAATTGTGATTTTTCAACTCCTTTTGGTAGTCCTTTGTTTGAAAACCATAAAATGCCTGTTTAAGAACCTCTCCTGGTTGGACCTCTTATTTACCTTTCCTACAAAATATAGCATATCTTCTTCCCCAATGTCTAATATATTTCTTCTGTACCAATTTCATCGCAATCGGTTGATCTGTTTAGGAATGCATAAAGGCCAGACTGACAAAATATAATTTTTATATGTATGTGTAGATGAAAATAATAAAGTAATAATACATCGTTGTGGAGTAGGTATTGCATAACAAATAAATGCATAACATTTTACTATCAAAAAGATTTGTTACCCACTTTTACTAATCTTCAAAAATCGTTTTATAAAACAAAGTACCCACGTCCAATAAGTAACTGTGTAAAATACAAATAGATAATAAATGTGAAAAGTAATTTTTGTTTAGAAATATTAAATATGAGTGGACACAAATTTATATGCAATTTAAAACATTTTATTTTTAAATTTTTAGACTATACCTACTTAAATTAAATTATCAAATTTACGAAATATTAATAATTGTTTATTCTTATATAATATTAATATTATAATGGATTTTTAGCTTACATAATCAGCTTTTTACATAAATAATAATAATGTACAAAAATATGCAACTCCTACATCATCCGATACCTAATTATAAACTTAATGATTTAACTATTTTATAAATATAATTGAAATTTGTTTGAGTTATATATATATATGATTATTTTATTTATTTGCTTCATTAGGTGATCATGAAGTTCGGAAACAGCTTGATGGATCGCCGTTGCCCAGACCTCGAAAAGTGCAGTTGTTATTATTTTTGGAAAAATCCCAGGATTTCCCAGACCTAAACAACTATCATCTAAGTCAATTCGGTCAATGGGCCACTCATGACATCACTCTCCTACCACCAGATTCTTCAGGTAAAAATGAATTTTGAACATTATAACCTATTTAATTTCCAATTAGGATGTAAAACTAACTCGAGTAAACCTAGGTTAAGTGTAAACTATACCGTGAAAGTATTTCTACCATAATATAGTAGTGTTTGAGTGAATCTCGTATTTTAGTAGGTCATTTTAACGGATGTGTTAAATTTGAAAAATTATAAATAATTGTGTACGAAAAAATCAAATCGAAATTTTAGATATCGATTGTATTTATATTAACCTAACCTAATCTTAATTTTGACCATACAATGTAAGTAATTCTCAATGTTGATGATTGAAGCATATTTTCTACACCAAAATGTAATGACTGCTGAGTTATGACATATACATAACAAAACACACATGAACATCATTGTAGTATCATGACAGTTATCGCTGTGCTCATCAGTGGCGCCGAACCCTATATTCAGGTAGGGCGGATGCCCTACCTCATAATATTTAGGTGGTGGGTGGGTGGTTTGGTGGTTCAGTGATTGTGTCAACGAGTTACTTATAGGTGGACTTATTTTTGTAGCCTACGCCTTTACAGCCTTACAGGCAATCTACAGCCTAAATACAGCCTAATTAAAACCATGATAATTAGTTAGTAAATATAGTATGTTAGGTACCACGGTCGTTGTCTATTCAATGATCAGATAAAAAAAAAGCATATCAGTGGAAGCATTGCATATACACATAATAGCATAGCATATAATACCTATTACCTAATAGTTAGAACTTAATTTGTGGTAGTGCTAATAATTATCTTGTTAACCTGCAAACCATAGTAAGCATAAAATATTTATAAGTTATATTTTAAAACATAACTAGTGTCTAGTAAGTCAATTTGGAATTATGTATAATATGTTGGTATAATTTCAATCCAAAATAAAAGTATGTATAACGATTACTGATAAGGTTTACCTAATATAAAGGTGGGTAAGTGGATGTCGCTCTGCTGTACTGTAGGTTACAAGTGGGTCACTGTATAATGGATGCTATTAAATTTGAATTCAATGATACAATATCATTGTATAAGAAAAACGATTCTGAGCGAAGACGGTATGTCAGTCTAGGTTTAAGACAAATTATATACATATCTATGGTTTTAAAAAAAAATTGACCTATAATAAATTCCAAATTAATCATATTACATTATCACAATATCCATTAGGTACCTACTTATAACACGTTATACATCAACATCAATAACAAACACTGATACTATCATAGATACATAATAGTACACTTTAGAAGTTTCAAGTAGGTACCCACGAATAATATTATATAATCACAACAAAATAACTAGGTTTTTTAATATGTAATTTCGTCCAAATTTGAACATAAAATGACTATAAAAATAAACTGTGATTGTATATTTTTTAGATTTTTCGGTAAGAGAATCAACTACTTACGTGGAATCTTGTTTTAAATTTTCAATCCTTAGCTATAAAAGTTGAACATTTTATACATTTTTAACAACAAATTTCAATTTTAAATTTCATAAATTTTTTTAAAATTCAAATCTTAAATGTTTATAAAAAAAATTGTGCCTATGTATTTTTAATATTTTTCAACTGATATTGTAACAATATACCAGGAGCCTTGTATTACATTTTTACACTTTTTGGCCCAACAGATAAAACTTTATTGATATTCATAGAAAAAAAAACTAAAAAAATTGAAAAATGAAAATATCCGTAAACAGCTCAAAATGAGTCAAAATATTTTCAAAATTGTATGGTGTATAGAAAATACTAATATAAACATTCAGTGAAATTTTCATGTATCTATAGTTATTCGTTTATGAATAACAACAAAATAAGGAAATCGCTACATGAGATATCGAGTGAACATCCAATGTTGTAAAAATTTGAATTTCAAACGCTCATAAAATTTAATTTGACTGTCCGGTAGAGATTTTTTTATTGATAAAGGTAGACAAACTTATGAGTAATCTTGTATTACATTTTCAAATCTTAGATTTAAAAAGAAAAATTTTTACGAATTCTTAACTCAAAATAATTTGCTAATTTTCGTGATTTTTCCATATTTTGTCAATTTTTGAACTTTAAATGCTTATAAAAAAAAACTGTGACTAACGATTTTTAATATTTTTCATCTGCCTTTGAAACAATATACTAGGGCCTTCTATTAAATTTTCAAGTTTTTTTAACCAACAAATAAAATTTTATTGATATTTCTAGAAAAAAAAACTAAAAAAAAATGAAAAATGAAAATGTCCCTAAACAGTTCAAAATAAATCAAAATATTTTGAAAATGTTATCGTGTATAGAAAATGCAAATATAAACAACCAGTGAAAATTTCATGTATCTACGGTCATTTGTTTTAAAGTTACACCAAAAACCAAATTCAATTTTCTGAAAAATCGATTTTGGGTAAAAATTCCCATTTTTCCTTAATTTTTCTTTTGTTTTTCTTGGCGCTTTTGAAAAGTACTGTGAATTTTAAACCTCCTAAATTGACCTCCTCAATACACCAACGATATTCACTTTCCAATCGAACAAGATACTGAAGTAGAAAATCGAAGCATTATTTCGACTACTTATCGTGTACACAGACACAAAAATAAAAAAAATAAAAAAATAAAAAAATAGAAAAACACACATCATTGTAAAATTAATACATTCATCGTTTCACTCAGAATCTAAAAATGTGTTATAGATTGAAACTATACTGGTGAATCAAATATTTTTTGTAAACGTCAAATATTATTGGTCAGGGGGTGGTGGTGTCTCATAATTTTGAAAGTTAGCCCTACCTCATTTTTTTGGTTTCGGCGCCACTGGTGCTCATAATTTAAAATAAATATATAAATATATATTCATATAGTGTATGTAATTGTGCACATACTTATTACGAACGCATTACCTACCTAATGTCATAAACATATTTTTAATAACATTTGGTTGGATCAATCAAAAAATGCATAACATCAGAATGTGGTTGAAAAGTTCAATTGTAATATAAAACCTGCAAATATAATTTAATTTTACGATACTATCATAGTTTGTCGTACTCGTATGTACAATTAGATATTTGTTATTATTATTTTATTTTTGGAAGATGGAGGTTAGAATTAAACACATAAATTATCATATTTTATATCCTATCTATGTTAACTATGCATTTTCAAATAACAAAGACTATTTTTTAGTAACAGTTTACTATGTTTTTTTTTAGTAGTTATTATTTTATTACCATATTATTAGTATAATACTTCTTTTGGATCGGAATTTGAATACTCTAGGTTTTTTTGAGTATGGAAATACTTTCATTCCATTTTTTTTTTAAATTGATAGCAGATAAAGTCTGAAATAGTAATTGTCTTACCCCCATTGGTGATATTATACTATTATAGTAGGTATGCAAATATACTTTTAGCTTTCTAAACTTATAAGTTTAAGACACATTATATTCCCGTTGTGTACGTCCGTCCACCTGTTAGTTACCAGTTCATAGTTATGATTGTTTATATTACTTAAGATATTTATTTATTCACTATATTATTATTGTTCGTAGTTACTTTACATATTTATGATTGTTAATATTAAGATAACAACTTGTTTACTTATTATATAAGTATTTAATAATATAGATTCATAATATATAAAATATACTACCAAAATATAAAGGTTACCAAATTATTTTTAAATTGTATTTGAAATTATAGTTTATTGCTTTGTATTAAAATTTGGAAACCTAACTTAAACGAGCACTCTCGCAGAGTGAGCTTTCCTCATTTGTTTATTTGGTACTTTGCATTTATAAACATAAAATAACAAAATAATTCAGTATTTCAACTAATTACTTTTGCATATTTTATATAAATCAAATCGTATTTTAAATGCATTTATTTTTAATATAACTATTTTATAGAAGTTTGAATACACCCAATATATATTATTAATTGCACGCTACTCAACATTAGCTATTTGTAAACATTAAACGAAACGATTCCGTTATGTACATACTACTACACTAGTATATAGGCTCACACCTATGAAATGTGGAAATAATGACACAGTGTCAGATTCAAGGTTATACGTATATTTTACGGTCTAGCTAGGTTTGTTATTTAACTTATGTATGTCAAAACTCAAAATACAATGTTATTGTTGATAATGTGATCAGGGCCAAAGAGATGTTGTTTCACCCCGATTAATGAGATCAACAGTAATACCCCATACCCATGTCAATTAGTTATTGAGTTACCAATGAATGACCCAGTTCATGGTCATCATGGACAAAGGTGTATGGAATTTAGACGTGCAATGACTGCTGCTCATAATTTCAACTGTTCAATAACTCCTCAAATTCCAGTGAGTGCCAATTTTTAATTCTTATCAATGAAAACAAATACTGACTATGTTCTTTATACAGGGTATCCCGTGATGATATACCCATTAGCCGTTGAGGGGGACTCGCCTCCAGGAAAAAAACTGGTTTTTTGCTGTTTTATCTATAAACTAAAAAAATATTAAAATCATGAGATTAATGAAAATAAAATGTTGATCTTTCAACATTTTTTTCAAAATCTCTATAAAATTTCTATCTTCAATTGTTTCAAAAATAAAAAATTAAATATGTGTAGTGTTTGTCTCTGTGAGACTAATAAAAGCAAGCAAACAGATTTATGATATATTTATTATCTCAGGAGATATCTCGCAATGGGTAAATCCTCACTGGACACTCTGTATATTTAGGTACAAATACTTGTTAAAACGCGAGGGTTCTTTATATTAATTATTAAATATTGTAATGTTAGTTTTCTAAACATAAGTCTGTCCATCCATTAGTTATTAGTACCTGCAGGTAAAGTAAGGCTGTTTGTATTAATATTTTAAAGTATCCTGACCGAAGATTTTCTGTGTCGGTATATATTATTACTAAGTATATTTTATGAATTTATGATATTATTGTGTTTAAAGTTATTTATTTCACTATGGGACATATATATTAGGTAGGATCAGTGTTTGATTTGAGTGTGTGTGTGTGGGGGGAGGGGGCACAGAGGATTGGAGTATAGCTAAGTTCAATTTTTTAGCTGTATGTTTTAACATAAATGATATCTATAGTTCAAAGACTTAACTATCTACAAAATTATATCACAACTCTTAGAGCTTTTTTTTAATAGGTAGCGTTTTCTTTACACAGAGTATGGCGGAGTGTTTTTGTTGGGATAATAGGTACAGTAATTATAATTACCTATGTCTTATATTAACTTGTATTTTATTATTTTTAAACTGATTATTTCTAAATATTTTTAATACGATTTCAAGAGGGTTATTAAAGGGTGTGGGAAGCCCCCATGGCTCAATAACGTTTAACAATAGCAATGTTGACGCTTTTTTTTTATGTAATCAAAGTCCCCCTTCTTAAATTTGGCCAAGTCGAGCACTGTGTATAAATTCTTATACCTAGGTGAAAATAAAGGCACTGGCATATTTTGTCTACAACATTATAATTATGTTTGATAATTCTTTTGCAGATGAATCAGGCGACATCATTCTTTGACTCATCACAGTTGTATGGACACAAATTAGTCAAGGCAAATTCAATTAGAACTTTTAATGGCGGGAGATTGATAACAGACGTCATAAATGAAAACGAGTATTGTCCTCTAAGGAAAAGAAACGGTTCATTATTATGCGACGGAAGGGAAAACGTGGGCGTATGTTTTGAAGCTGGTAATCGTATATACGCTGATTTATGTTCCAATAACTATAATTTGTCAGTGCCTTGTTCATATAGGCTGTTAAAATATGTACCATAACTTTTCACATTAGTTTGCTCACAACATTTTTTCCCATTTTTATAATTACCTTTAATTTTTAATAAACAAACACTGTTTATCTTTAAATAAATTGATAAGAAAATAAGAAATAATTAAATAAAAATAAATGAAATGTTGTTTAAAAAAATTAATTATACATTTTTTTTTTTGTAGGAGACCCAAGAATAAACCAACACTTTGGGATCACATCGTATAGTATTTTGTTTACCCGGTTTCATAATGTTGTGGCTGATATGTTACATCAATTAAATCCTCAATGGTCTGATGAAGTGTTATATCAAGAAACTCGAAAGTTCGTCGGTGCACTAAATCAGATAATTGTTTATCGGGATTACTTGCCTATTTTACTTGGTATTTATTTTTTAAATATTATTTAAGTACCGGATTGTTTAAAGGAGTATAACATATATTATATTATACAATAGGCAATAATTTTATGTGATGTTTATTCTAATATAGAATATATTACTATTATAATCTGTAACCAAATGCAACTATATATAATACAAAAAAAATATTCAATTTCCGTTTTTTTTGAATCAAAGTCATCAAGTACAACATCTTTAAAATGAGTATTTTTTAAAAATCCTTTCTTATTGCACATCTAGACATAGGCGTGCGCACAGGGCGTGCCGGGCGTGCCCAGGCACGCCCCGAGATTTTTCAAGGGCCGAAGCGCCCTATGTCTCAAACATGCTTATCAGTACAGGAGAACTGGGGTATCACCAAGTCATCCTCATCCATGACAATACATTAAAAAGATTTGAGTTCATTTTTGGCATGTTTATAATGCATCCAATATTAAATCTTATTTTAAAAGTTAGCTCAGTACTTCAATCACCAAAACTAAATCTTTTGTTGGCAATTGATAATGTACGGTCTTTAACATTAAATTTTAAAAGTATGAGAAATGAAAATAAAGAATTTGAAAATATTTTTGAACAAGCAGTTGCTTTATGTAAAAAACATGGAATAATTGTTCCAGACGTTATTCGTAAAAAAGTATCGACTCAAATTGATAACAAATCTAAATCTCAATTTTTTTTAACAATAAATTAGATGAAATGAAGATATCAGTTTATTATGAACTACTTGATGATTTATTATCGGCAATGGATTCAAGATTCAATTAAGAAACTTTAAGCTAAATTGAAGCTATTACTAGTCTGCTACACATGGAAATAAAACCTGAAATGATTGTTGTTTATGGTACATCTAGTGAGTCCATTTATTTGTGGCTTGATTGGCTGAAAACTAACAATAGTATTTCTACCTACAGTTGTTTTTATAAAACCTTACAATTATTTACTATTATCCCAGTCACAAGTTGTACATGCGAACGAGTCTTTTCCAAAATGACAATTGTAAAATCAAAACTTAGAAGTACGATGAAACAGGAACGATTATATTCGTTACAGTAAAATGGGGTAACTTTGATAAATTTGTACCGTTTAATTACAATTTTACTTTTTATTTTATGGATAACTTCTGTAGTATTAACGATAAAATTCCAAAAATTAAATCTTAGTTATAGCTAATTATCCTCAATTGTTTAACATTTACATTTTTAAATTTCTGATGTTATCTTCTGAGATATTTTTATTCAATCTTTTTAAAATTGTGGCAACTTTGATACCAGCATTTCGTAATGTGTTATCAAAGTTACCCCAGTTTATGAAAAAAATATTGAATTGTCGTGGTACTATGGTGAATAAAAATATCATATTATCAAAGTTACCCCATTCTACGGTACTGTTACTATTCACCGAACAAGAGTTGACAAGTGGGATAAACTTGGATTCTGTCATCGATGAGTTCAACACCTTAGAAAATAGACATATGAATCTGTAAATATTATATACTAACCAGTAACCAATAATAATTAATATTGACTTGTTTCTGCTCTATTTTTTTCTATAATATCTATACTATACTCTGTCTATGTGTGTATAATGTATAATTCAAATTTTCCACGGGCACGCCCCGAACTTAAACTCTGCGCACGCCTATGCATCTAGAGCATTATAGAAACCACAATTTCAAATTTTGAGTTCTAGGGGTTTATCATTTTGTGAAAAAATAAGGTTGTGTAAGTAAGGGATGCTTTAAAACTGTGGAATTTTATTTTATCTTATGGGTTGTGGCTCTATATAGTGCTCTATACTGGTGTATTTTAAAATTGCATTTTGCTGTATAGATGGCGCATCGGCGCCACTGACAAAAACATCCAAATTTTCGACTTCTCCAGTAGATTATCCAAAACAAACATTGTCAATGACGAATACAACAAAAAAGAAATCTGCGAAATCTGTCTAGCCGTTCTCAAGGCAATACATATTATATATCCATAGATTAGAAGATATTCGGAGTTAAATATACATAAAAAAGACTTTGACTCAAAAACTAAGCGTGGAACTTTTGATTAAATTCACTAAGCTCCACACTCGACTATGCTCCAACTCAAGACTGTTTAATATTCTAAATAATTGAAACAAAAATCATAAATACTAGAAACCGATTTTGCTTAAGATCAGCTAATTATTTATAGTGGTTACTGTTAATGTTAATACGATTGCAATATTTCCGATTTAAGGTTTTGTATATACCTACCTAATTATTTAAAATTATTATTATTCATCAATAATATGTTTCATAGATTTTCTTTAACTATTATATAGTGTTTATTGTAACAATAATATGCTAGAAACGGTATAACTAATAAGTATAGTGTTATTAATTATATTTTTTTAATAATTGCTGTTTAAACTCCAAAAATACCATTACTGTACCTTATATATATATATATATAATGTACACAGGTGAATCATTTACATATCGCGTCGGTTTGGATCTCCGCAATAATATAAGGACAAAATACAATCCGTTACTCATGCCACAATTGTCTATAGAATTTGCAGGCGGTGCTTTCCGAGTGCCACATAACACAGTGGCGTCGTTTTACAAGTAAACCATTCCTATTTGTAGTGAAATCTTATTATTAAGTATTATTTTTATCGTATTCATAATGTTATTTTATTGAAAGTTACGTAAACAAAGATTATGAGACAGTCGACTCAGTCAAACTTAACGAATGGATGTCAATATCTGACCCCTTAGTAGAGGGTTCAAATCTTGACGAAATAGTCAGAGGCATGACTGCATCAGCAGGCCGTTTTTATACCCCATCTTATAACTATCTAGTAAGTATATCTAGTACTTACTATTCGCATATAGTTCGCAAACTTATTAAAAATGGTAACAGTTATCATATAAACTATAATATTATAATATTTTATAGTATACAAATATAATAGGTAAAGCTATATTATGATAATTCTTAGTAGTATAATACAATTATATTGTATTCAGATTGCGGTTGAAAAAAATTAAGTCAAGTACATAGGTAATACCTATTAAATAATTTTATTGGTATCCACCAAGGCTATTTTTATTTCTTTCTTAAGCAAGTATTTTAATTGTAATTGAAAATTGAAATTATACATACCTACTTATTATTTGAATATTAACTATTTGCATTTTGTACCTATTAAATACTTACATTTTTTTTATTACGATGGTATATTTCAGAAAAATAATCTATTAAACCTGATAACATATACTTCATTAAATAAAAAATATTACACTATAAATATATATATGTAAACACAATTCAATTTTACTGTTAAAAGTAATTTCAGTAAGTTACTTACTTGTACTTTTACTTTTGTTTCACTTAAAAAAATTGTCTAATCTATAAAATAATATTCATCAAATGTTTTTGTTTTGTACTTTTTAAATGTATGCAATACCTACTACAAATAAATGTAATATTAGTTTCATGATTATACACACACATAATATGACGTATTGCAGTACCATAGTAAAGTTGTATTGAAAAATGTATAACTGTAGCATCGATAAATCCAAAATTCGGTCTATTTTAATTATTATTTATTATACAATCACTTTTTATGCTGTTATAAAATAACACACACTATCCATAAATTAAGTACTATTCCGATTTAATATTTTTGCTTTTTTATTTGAAAATAGTAAAGTGGTCAGGTTTATATTTTAAAAAATGACCGGCACAAGCCATGACTCGGTTATTTTATACAACTGTCAGTGAAACAATCTAAGAACAACATTTTTTTTTGTTACGATATAAATATTTAGCCTTATTGTTATAGTTATCAAATTTCATGTTCCATAATCATATAACTGGTGATCAAGATTTGCTTGCAGTGGACATTCAGAGAGGGCGCGATGTCGGCATACCGCCATATATTAAGATGAGAGAATGGTGTGGCTTACCAGAAATCTGTTCATTCGAAGATTTATTAAAATTTTTATCACCTGACGTAAGTCGATACAGATTTTTTTCTCAAAAACGATACTGGGTTAATAATAATTATGTTCTTAATTAGGAAGTTAGAAAATACAAATATTTAATATTTTGTACTAGTCTGATTTTTTAAATAAACTCTTACTATTATTACATTAAAATCATCTAAAACTATACTATTTTCATATTTACAATAAAATGTATTTTATTTTTATATTGTACTAAAATTATTTTAAAACCATGAAGTGTTGTACAATGATTTACATTGTAAGTTAATGTGTTATCAAATATTTGATCTCTATTTAATTCTAAATTTGTATTGAATTGTAATAGTTATCAATCATGGTTATAGGACGTCGAAACACTGAAAGAACTGTACTCAACTGTTTATGACATTGATCTACTCGTGGGAGCTTTACTCGAACCACCTGTCGATGGTGGAACGGTTGGTCCAACTGCACAGTGCATCTTAGCTGATGTATTTTACCGTGTTCGATTCGGTGATCGTTTCTTTTTTGATGTCAAAGGTCAACCGGGAAGCTATTCTCCAGGTATGTGTAGATACAGTCTTTGGTACCTATTTTTTGGGCTTATGAGTATGAACATCAATTATATTGCTATAATAATATATTTGTTTATGATATTAATAGCTCAATTGAGAACTTTGAGAAACCTCGATCTTGGTCACGTAATATGTGCCACAACTGAATTGGATGAAGTACCGTTTAATATTTTTCAGCCATCAAGGTAAATATATATTTTTAGTAGCATATGTGCTATGTAAAGTAACAAAAATATTCAATACTAGATTTTGAGCGGAGAGATATATTTTAAATATAACTTGAGTTATTTTATGTTTATTATTTTTTAAGGGGGAAAGTAAAATACTGATTGTTAATTATTGTATGTTTCAGATATTCACAAATGGTGAAATGCCGAGATCATTTGTTAGACTTGGATCTCAGTGCTTGGAGAGAATTTCCATAGTTTAATGGATATATGTGAAACGTTAATTGCATAGGAATTAACAACGAGATATAATTTTAAATTATAAATAAATTAAATAAATACTAACATGTAAAATAAATTTTACAATAAAAATAATTTAAGTACCTGGCCTGCAAGCCTGGATTAATATGGTACCTTTAGATACTAGAGGGTCTAGGGTATTAGCTAGGCCTCATGAAAGTATAAAATACGGTCTTTTTTAAACTGTAAATCCCAACTCCTAATATTATCATACTCGTATGTAAAAGTATGAATAAAATATTAAATAAATAATAAATTGTGTGTAATGTAGTAATTTAAAAATGCTTAATGAAGGTGAACATACAGTAATGTATGCACCAGAACCCTTGACACTCAAGAAATGAAACTAATTGTCACTGTCTTTTTTTTGTGCTCAATGAAGTCATAATCAAACGTACATTATGTTTATTTTGAATAATTTGTTCATGTATACAAAAATATACACACGCACATACATAATATAATATATTATCTCATCGATTATTCAAATTTAATTTTTGCAACGATTAATAGGTTTATTTGACCCATTTTGTATTACTCGACTTATCGATTTACCGAATATACCTAAATCATAAGTTTAGGTACTATGCTCATCGAAAATGATGGTCAAGCTGTTATACTATAATATTATAATAATATACTTAAATTTAAATATTGTGTCATACATATGCATGCATGCTATAATGAATTATGTGTACCATGCCTACCTATATAGATGTATACTGTATAGATATATGTAGCAATACATAATAAATAATAAACTGATATTTAACAATCGGATATATAATATCTAGAAGATACCTGTTGCACCGAAGCCGTTCCTACAATTAGTGCGGTTAGAGGCAACTACTTGCGAGATGTTTGGGACGGGAGAAACTTACCCAGAGTATCTATACATATATAATAAAAACAATTTTTGTTTTGACGGCGGCACGCACGGACGGTGACGGAAACAACGTTGCGTTCCGCAAAACCGTAATAAGGAACAAACCCGAAAATAATACAATTATTGCCTTTATTTCGCCCATGGCTGCCGGCTGGTCATAGCAACGGAGACAACAAGAAACGATCTCGTGATCACACGAGGTTGTGGTAGGGGTGGGGACGAGAGGACGACGCATCGCTTCAAGCTCAACGGTTGGGAAAGGACAAAAAGTTACGTACAAGTTTACAACTGGCGGCACAGCCTAAGGCGGAGGCACTCGCGGCCAACGACCCGGCGGTGGACGGCAGAGGAGAGGTAAGCCACCTAGCGAACTTATGAGTCCGACGTGCGAGCGGCTGGGAGGAAATATGGCTGAAACTACGGTTTCACGTTCGTGTTCGAACAATACCATATGCACACATCTACACAGCAGAGTGGCGTTGGTAACTTGGAATTTTCATTGGATAGTCAACTAGCTATTTCAAGCACCATGCACTGAAAATACAATGATAAATACATTGGCACGCGATCGAGAGGGTAACGGGGCAGTTTTCGTATTGTGGACATATTATACGTCAATATTATATTGCAACAACAACAATACCACCGGTTTGACACTGAGGAAAAAATTAAAAATTTTAATACCTCTTATTAAGAGGACGTTTCACCCGAATTTGTTGTCTCCGTCTTACACACTTAAGGTATAGCAAAAACTGTTTTGCGCGAGGCATAACTAAGAAACGAAATTTTCACCAGATATGAAGGAGAACTTTGGCTGAGCAATATCGTTTTTATATTTTTGAAGTTCCGATAACGAAAAAACAAAAACGATATTGCACAGCCAAAGTTCTCCTTTTTATGTGGTAAAAATGTCGTTTCTTAGTTATGATTGTAGAGTTCCCGGTTCTTTCTAGCCCAAAACAGTTTTTGCTATGATATACATTTGTAAAATGGAGAGACACATGCTGGTGCAAAGTCCTCTTAAGGAACTAGGAGATTGCATACATACATACATACATGTATTAATAATAGGCTAGTAAAATATTTCACCCACTATTAATTTTTCGGTAAAAATTTTTACCTTAGCCCAAACGACCACGTATTTGCAAGCCCCTTTCCGGTAACGTTCTCAACAGAAATAAAACACAAAAAGTCTACTCGAATTATATATTCTTCGTCAATTTTATCTACAAATCGAGCGCATATTGAAGACTGTTCAATGCCACACTGACATCCGCACTTTCGTCAGCAATGGCAGAAAAACATCCAGATTTATTTACACGTTGCACAATATTCGTCGCATTCGTCTGGGTTTATTCGATTATTTTTATAATATGTTTATTAATTGAATATTAATCGTTGTATCGACTGTACATCGTAAATTCATAACCACGCAAATTCTTTTGAAATGTCGTAAAAACAGTTCGTTTAGTAGTAAACAGTTAAGAGGATATATTATTATAGGTATGTGTACTGTGTTCGATCACTTTACACCTTAGTGCGAATGAATGTCATGTTCAGGCCCTATAATGTATACCCACACAGGTACACGTAGGTATATGATATACATTTCTAACGCTGAATCGAACATTTCTATAACATAAAATCCTCGTTACCACTATGATGGTAAAGACGTTGTTAGTCTAATGATGGTAATAGTCATCCAATTCTATTGATGGTAATAGTCATCCAATTCTATTGATGGAAAGTATCGAAGAACTTGTACACATCATATGTGTGCAGCATAGGTGAAACTCCTTTAAAATTTCAAGGGGGGCTAACATTATCAACACCAATTCGAGGAGGCTTCGATCCCGCACAACGAATAAGGAAGGGGGGTTTGATGCACTTTGGGGGGGGGGGTGGCTAAGATCCGTATGCCCCCCTGATCTACGCCTATGTATGTGTGTGTAGCCTATCAACGCGGAAGGGAATTGTCTATCGCTTAAACAAAGCTGATAGCAGGATATTCAATATCATTCAACCACCGCTCACTAACCTGTATTTAAGTTAAGTCTCCCAACCAATATCCAGTAGGTACTACAGATTTAACGTCAAACATTTTGAATGAACGCAAAACATTACTAAATCCATTAATCTCTCTAATAATCATAATTTTAAGCAAACTCACAACAATATTCCCATAACAGTCATTATTTCTAACATTAAATCTCTTATCTACAAACCTCATTAAAATTATCTACAATCCCCATACTGCATGCTATTTGTATATTAACCGAAAATAAATAACTAACCGTAATTAAATTGTAATCGGAAACTTGTAATAGCATTCATAATATGCTGAAACATTTTTATTGAAATAAATAAATAAAAAAAAAGTTAAGTATACCTACAACTAGACCGACAACGACAATCAAAACAACCGCAGCGACAAAGACGACGACAGTACAGCAGAAACATTTCAGCCAAGTCCTTTAACGTGCAATAACTATTAAGTGAGTACATTATTTATTGAATATAATATCAATACATATTATGTATTTATGTTATAATAGGGGAAATAGCAATGTAAGTGTATGTTCACATTTTTATTATGCACTCTTTATCTGACATCCATGCTTAAAAACTCACACACAAAGTCTAGAGAGAATTAAAAACAATTTTATTCGTTTCCTATGTTTTCGATGCTTTGCCTTTAGAACTTCATATTCAGGCTACGAAGTGGTGTCAAACATTTTTAACATAATATTGACGATTGAAAACAGTTTTCTTCAAATAAAATTAAAATTTTTATTCAAAATAATTAATAATACGATTGATTGCCCTGAAATATTTAAAAAAATGTATTCTAAAATCAATTCAAAAATTGAGGAGAAATAATTACCACTGATGACAGGATTTTTCCTATCCCATGAAAAATGTCAAGTTCGCAATGTCTCCGTATGCATGTATAGATGTTAGTTATTATCTTCTAGTTATGTATCTTATAATTAAATATCAGGATATTATTTATGATGTATGTCCACATGTATCTATATTATATATGTATTAATATATATGTTTGAATGTGAGCATCTACGAGTATATAGTATAGACTGTATATCACTCAGCATCGTTTTTATGGATTCAATGATACATCATTGAATTCAAATTTAGCACATCTGTAACCACTATCCAAACCTTACTCTACAGCAAAACAGTACTCAATTGCCCATCATTTTTCAAATTGATTTTAAAAGACAGTGCCTTTTCCAAATTACTGCTTATTAGGTAATGCTTTTTGTCAAACAACTATTACAAAAACGTTACTGTCTGAATATCTTACTTTTATGATACAATTTATACAATAAGTAGCTGATCTCGTACACTTCGTTGCCCGTTAAATGTACCAACCCTATATTACTCAAACTTCAATGCGTTATTTAATATTCGGTGTATGATGTTATAGATTTATCTTAACTTTTCCGTTGACGGAATAAAAATTCTGATTCGCAACACTATATTATAAAGTAGGCAATATACCTGCGGTAGATCGCTGACCCCGTGCTGTTTGTACGTATACGTACTTATAAGTGTATATATATATAGACAAAAAATAATAATACAAATAAACTAACATACCCGATTAACCAATAGCAACCAATATATAATACACTGTTGCGACACTGTTGTATTTTTTACAACCGAATTTCCTACTTTTCCGGTGGATTTTCCAAAAATTTCCTTTCGAAAAATCTACTCTTGGCAATTACGAACATCTTACTTGAGCCAAATCTTACCAGCCATTCTCGATTGATGATTTAACGACATTTTTCATATATATATATATATAAATATATTCTATCAATTGGTTCTTAAAATGTATTAAACAATTATTATAATATGAGTATTTTAGTAACTTTACTACAAAAACGTAACTTAAATTTTAAGTTTTATTAAATTTTATTATGTAGGTAGTTATAGCCCCCCGTATAAATTACTTGCAATATAATGCAATTAAATTACCATCAAATTAGGTACTTAAAATATAATTTTATTACAGTACCTTTTAACTTAAATTAAGTTACTCCCCAAAACTGTTTATGTATTTTATATATTTTTTATTTATTTAAGATAAATAAAATAACTTGCTTTACACTTATAGTTCTATCAACAACGTTTACTATATAAACAGTTTAAATTTAAAACTGTAAGGTTTGGGTGGTAAAAACATAGCTGTATAAATTATATTTTGTTCTCTTAGTATTACATTTCGTGGAGGAGTTATTTTTGTTGTTCTTTAAATTTTCCTCTAGTTTTACAGCAATGCCCACGAATTAATCACAGAGGTAATTATTATTTAAAAGAGAGTTGACATTGACTAGAACACTTGTTAAATGTAATTATATGCATATAAACATAAACGCATGATCGACATGTGCAAAATATTTGTTTGACCATATGTTAACATTGTTTGTCAACAATTATAATTATTATACCATTTGAACAATCGAGGTATTCGATGATAATTATTGTTATTCTAAGAGTATACTAAAACCAAACTGAAGTAAAGTGCATTATTTTTATTCACTCTTTATATTAATCTAGAATCTAGAAAGTCTAATATTATTTTTGTATTATTTATTAGATATAAATTAAAGACTGTAGTGTGTTATATGTAAGTATTAATTTTTTGCTTAAAAATACGCTGTAAAAACTGTTCTTGAAGTTCGTTTCATTTTAGAGTTTAATATTTATACATTTTATAAAACCGTTTTGTTTTATATAGTTATATACCTAGATCTTTTTCAAGAAAAATAAGATATATTTGTTTAAAATTACTATTGTATATTTCATATTATCAACTGACATAATGATATAGGTTAATGATAATGTCGACACACTAACACCGAAGTGTTTCCTGTAAACATGTAATATTATACAAATAGTATAATACTATATAAACACAAACATTAAGAGTTTGTAACCACTTGTCTTAAAATAAACTAACATTGGCGTAACTAAAATATCGGTACAAATAGGAAAAATTTTGTGGAGACTTTATAGCAAGAGGAAACATTAAAATTGCATAGTTTATCAACAATAATAACATTATTAAAAAATAAAATCACATACATCATATTATGATTATTACGGACTTGTGGTCACAAAACAAAATTGTGAATCATTTTATATATTATTATGTTATTGATACAACTTAATATAATAATATAATATAATTTTGTACATACAGAGTGCCGTATACATCGGATGTTGTAGGCATTTTGACGTATTTTTAGAGGGTTTGTTCTATTTTCGAGCCATTGGAGGCTACCCACTTGGTTTTAATTAATTTCTAAATACAAATAAATACCAGACTTGGGTAAAATACTTTTTAAAAGTATTTCAAATATATTTTCCGAATACTTAAAAAAAAGTATTCAGAGTATGTATTCGAATACTTTATGATAATAATATTCCTAAGTATTTGGAATACTTCACAAAAAGTATTCCAAATATTTTTCGGATATTTTTTTTAGTAGATTTCAATATCAAAAATATTTTTTTTTTTAATTCTTTGTTTATAAATGAACATTATTATAATCTCGATAATACACACCTATCTGGCTATCTATTATTAGTTATAAATTATATTCAAATTAATATAGTTAATAACTAATAAGTAATAATCAGTAATATATTAGATTATACCTATATAAAAAAAATAAGTATTCCGAATACTCGTAAAAAGTATTCAAAATACCGTATTGAATACATTCAAAAAAAGTATTTAAAAAGTATTCAGAATACTTAAAAAGTATTCCGAATATAGTATTCCGAATACTGTATTCGGAATACTACCCAAGTCTGAATTAAATACCCACTTTATTCACGTTTTATATAGAGACATTTCAAAGGTTTTGTGTGTTTGTGCGGTCTGTGGTGTCAGGTGGGTGAATAGATTAACCCCTCTATCACTATTATTCCTGGATTTGTGCACTTTAGCGATAAAAATACTGTAAATTAAGGAAATTAAGTCTTTAATTTGTCATACTCAAATCACAATATCACATACACATTCAATTTTGTTTGGATAATAAATTTACCTGTTATGCTTACTGTATGGATTGCGTACATTTTTTTTCAAATGAAAAATGTTTAATAAGTAAATTTTTTCTATTCCTAAAGTTTTCTATTCATCTGTACGAAGATGTTATATTTGTTGGTGTGGTTATGTGTAATATCAGTGTTGGGAACTTCATCAAGAATTCGAGTAAGTAATAATTAATAAGTAATGAATAAATAGATTTAGATGAATATTCAATTTTAAAAATAATAATGGCCTAACTAAATCTATATTCTATAGCCAGTGCTAAAAAAAATTTTTTTTAGAAATTATTATGAAATTATAGAAATGAAAAATGTAAAACTCATGATCCATCCCTATAAGTTAAAATTATATACAATGATTGAAATTGAGCAAAATATCAGCTATATTCAAAACTACTGGACCGATTTCAACAAAATTTGTATCAGTAGACTCTTAAGTTTAGAATTCTAATAGATTTCTAATGTAGTTATTACGCTTAAACTGAATAATAACCGCCAAGCGTTGTATTTTTTACTTGGTTGTTCTCTGGCGAAGTCATTAGGTACAGATCAAATTTTATATTTTCAACTACATTTTTTAAATATTATTTATAATTTTTGACAGTGCTTTTACATTATTGTAAATCACTCATTTTAAGCTGGGCTCTGAATTTAAAACAACGAACTCTATTGCAACCTTAATAATAAGTAATAACACTAACGTATTTACGTATATATTTACGCAATAATTTATTATGATATCAGAATATATTTGATTATTTTAATTTTTTGATATTTAACCTCCAGATTAATAATAAGAGGGACCCTGTGATTTTTTACGGAGATGGTCCTGATTCAAACATCATATATTATCAACAATGTGCACCCAGAGTGACCTGCAATCGAAATGCTGTTTACAGGACAGCGGATGGCACATGTAATAACTTGAGGAACCCGTTGTGGGGGTCGTCCGAAACTCCATACATAAGACTTGCTGAAGCTGCTTATGCTGATGGTGAGTTTGGGCAGTGGAAATTTCAGAATAGAAAACATTGCATTGGCCAATGAGAAATATCCAAAACTTATATTATTAATAGAGATAGATTCAACTATTGAATGTGAGTGGGTTTATATAATATATGTTGGCTACTGATTACTGGGACTACAATTTTGATTCTTAGCTAAATGATGAATGTAGTATACTAGTATTCTTCTTACATTATTATATGAGTTATAAATATGTTTTCATTTAATAGTTTTATAAGTTTAAAAATTTGTTTAGTAAAGCCACTTGGATTTATTTTCACCTTTGACCAGTGCTGATAGTTTTTGCACGCTTTGGAATAACCATAGTTTTGAAGTTTTTTACCAATAACTTCCAAACCAAGTTGGTCTGACTGTTTTTTTTACATATTCTTATATAACATGCTGAAACAGACTTTTGAAAAAAAAAATAGAAACACCGTTAGGTTGCTAAACTAGAATTATTATGCTTTAAAATGTTTCATCTGTTAAATACTTAATTTACATTTTGTGTTAAATTATACGGTTTTGTTTTTTTTAGCGTTATACGTTTATAACATTATGTAATATTGTATATTATGTAGAAAAATAAACGGGTTATAATAGGGAGGGGGCAGACCTCTCACTTTATTTTCTATCAATGATTTAGTCATGTACCCATACATTTTTTGAAAACCACATAACTGTGTAGTAGTAAAAGTTATAATTTGTATTTATTTATTTATTTATTTATTTTTTATTTAATCTTCAAGAAGATAATGGGCCCCACTGAACATGTTCATGTGGGGGCCCATGAGTTCACAATTTGAAATATAAATATATTAAATAGTTCTTTTTTTTTTTTTTTTGATTTTACTAGGTTTTTATTGAACAAAAAAAAAATGTTATTTACAATCTATAATTACATGTATTACAATAAGTAAATGGGATGGGGATGATTAGCGGGAGGGGGAAGTCACCCAGTGGCGGCACCCCGAAATAGTTCTTATAAATTAAATAATTACAATTTGTAACATGCATTTCTTACATTTATAAATATATAACTATTTTTCAATAGGTACCATAGAATATAGATAATAATATATAATGAATAGGCCATCCCTATACTAAACACCCATGGGGCAGCGTTCCCGAAGTTTCAATATATGCCCCATCGGTACCACTGTTACCAGAAGTAACCAATATGTAACCATTTTGACTTATCACTATCTACTAATAATTGTTATCAGACAAATATTATTTGCTGTTTGAATTTTAAATCATTTGATTATTTGAAATTTTTAAGATTGAACAGAAGTATATTGGCATATTGTTTCCAATTATAAAAGTACAATAATTATTAATTTAAAATAATTTATTTTATTTCTTGTCAGGTTCTTGTAGGTACTGCTGGGAGCCTTCCTACTTACAATTAATGTTACTTATGTCAAATGTTATATTAGGTCAACACACTTACTCACTATACCTGTAGTCCTGTAATATAGATTGTAAATATATTTTTAAATAAAAAAAAAATAATAATAATAAAAAAATAATTGACTTGTTTATTGTAATAAAAAGTATATTACCCCATACCTTACTCTTCAGGAACGCTTATGGAAGGCTTATACCGTTATGTATTATCTATGTTCTATATTAAAAGTAGATATCTATGATTTACATTTGCTTCAATGGATGTATAATTTATAATACTAATATGTTATTATTTTATATTTATGTTTATAAGGTAATTATGAAGTTCGTAAACAAGTGGATGGTTCTAAGTTGCCTAGGCCTCGTCAATTACAGTTACAATTATTTTTACGAAAATCCTTGGATTACCCAGACTCTAACAATTATCATCTTATGCAATTTGGTCAATGGGCCAATCATGATATCAGTCTTATGCCACCCGATACAACAGGTAAAATAGCATAAGTTCCGATTAGCCCTTAATTTCAATGAAAAAACTGGGGGTACTGAAACCTTCTATTTTTCCAATTAGTCTTGTGACGTCTCCTTTTCACCTATCGCTCGCACCACTCTTTAGGTGTTGTTCTGTTCATATTAACGAGGTCTCGGAGACTCGACCTCGGTGTGTGATATTATTACTAGGATTCAGGATTACGTTAAGTGAAGCAAAGTACTCAACGTATATATATATATGTATCTGTTATTAAATATTAATGTATTATTATTACTACAACATCGAATCTTATAATATATCGAACATCAAATAATATGTATTAGGTATACTTATAAATTATAACTGAGGGTTACCGATCGGGCCGTGGTGTGTCGTGGGTGCCGATATCCAATGTGGGTTGAGCTGGTCATCCTTGGGACCTCTTCAGGTCGTTGTCACCCATCGACTTCCACTATCGGCCATCCTCTAGGACTCTTCATTCTCGACCATCAAACTATCGACTATATCGACTGCATGACTACATCGACTATATGACGACAATCGTTACAGTCTTATCAATTATCATTGGTGGTCATTGATTAGACAACTGTTTGAGCAACTTCGTCAATAAAATCTCAAAATATGATGCGTATTTCAAATATATTTTAAATACTTTTTATAAACATATTTCATATATATATTTATTACATATTATATATGTATAACGTATTATATTATATTCATTATTTACACATGTTTGACACACTACCCATAAGCTATTTATAATTAATATTTTACTGCTACCGTTATATACGCACTACCTAGTACCTACACACAATAATTACAAGTATCTATATATACCTACCTAACCTAGCCTAACCTAACCTAGCTATATATATAGGTAATAGTAGGTACCTACATGACGTATATTCACTCATTAGGCTAAGAATCCTACCTAGTACCTACAAAATAACCGTAGACACAATGAAACAGAGTCAGATGAGTGATCAAAATATATAATTTACAATATTTCCGTCTTCAATGTAAAACGGAGTAAATTAAAATAAATCAAGAATCGGGCTTCTTAAGGAACCAGATTTTAATCTCCTCTAGAATTTTGTTCATAGGTGTTTTTACAATATAACTACTCAGTCACCGATATTCTTTGAATGCGTATATGTGTTTTTAAAGTAAATTTTTCGCCGAGAAAAAATGAAACGTCCTCTTAAGTATTTACTTACGTGTGTCAAAATATAAAATATGATTTACATACAAAGTTGTTGTTGGTTATGTGAATAGGGCCAGAGAGATGTTGTTCCGTTCCTATTTATGAGATCAACAGTAATAGCCCATACCAATGTCAATTAGCTATTGAAATACCTACGAATGACATGATTCTTAGTCGTTATGGACAAACATGTATGGAATTTAAACGTGCAATGACGGCTGCTAATAATTTTGATTGTCCTGTAACTCCTCAAACTCCAGTGAGTATTAGTTTGTAATACTTTATTTATTTTACTGACTGTGTTCGATTTTTAAGAAGAAAGTAGCTTAAGGCGGCTCTAAACGATTGGATTTTTCATGCATTTAGACCAATAAGCTAGCGAAAAATACACATACTTCTAGTAGTAAAATTTTAATTTTGAATACTTATTTGGATTCGTTAGCCTCTTTTCTATGATCTGTAGGAAAAACTTTTTCATCTTTTTGTCTAGTTAGCACTAAAAAGTGCAAGTTAAATTTGAGAAATCAAGCAGTCATTTGGAACCGTAATATACTTAAATTATCTAAAATATCCAAAATCGGTTTCCTACAAATCATAGAAAAGAGGCTGACGAATTCAATTAATTTTTCAAAATTGAAATTGGACTACTAGAAGTATGTGTATTTTCCGCCAGCTTATTAGCATTTTTCACTGTTGTGAGTGTACAAAAATATTTTTCGAGAGTGATTACGTTGACTTGTGCATGCACGTACGTGTGCTATTGAACCGTGTACCCGCAGCCGGGCGATATAAAATCTATTGTTATCGAGTTCGAATTTCTTCGAATTTCACACTAATAATCATTTACGACTAACACATAGATTACGGGCGGCGACAACAAGATTAGAAATTGCCTAAATTGTTCCCCAATAATAGCCACTAAGAGCCGGCTTAAGACAAAAACATTCTTTGTACTCTCACTGTGCACAGTTTATCACTGTGCCAATACGGACGACAAAGTACTTCCCATTATTTTAAGATAGAATGCACTAGGGAGAAGTAGAGAATATAAAGACATGTAGGTACCATATGAGAAGAGAAATTTGAATCCTAAGACTTTAAAAGAGAGATATTTTGAACTATATATATAGGTATTTTATAACGGATACAACATCAACAAGAGACCCATTTAGATAATACAATTATGTGCTGAAATGGGGGGGGGCTTCTAGAAAAGTATGTGACGTGAAATGTATTGGTATTAAGTGTAAAATTAAGGTGTTTTACCTAATCAAGTATCAAGATCAGATTGGTGTAGGAGGCAATTTATCGAGGTAAAGTATATTTTGAGAAACCTACCTACAGTTAAAAGTACAGCTGGATAATCAAATTACTTTTAAGTTTTAACAGTATTTTTAGTGTTCTTGTCCTTGTCTTTAAATAGTTCGAAACTAGCCTTTAAAATTTTGTACATTCTTCTATACTTAATATTGTTCTCTAAAAATATTCTGATATAATAGAATACTTGCAAATATTTGTCCAAAATATTTTATAAACTTATATTTTGATAATTATTTCACAGATGAATCAGGCAACCGCATTCATTGATGCGTCACAATTGTACGGACACAAACAAGATACTGCAGAATCAATTAGATCGTTTGATGGTGGAAAATTGAAAACAGATATCATAAATGGACACGAGTTTTGTCCTCGAAAAAAAAGACAAGGGTCATTAATATGTGATGATCGGGAGAACGTGAACATTTGTTTTGAAGCTGGTAATATATTTGCGTTAAAATTACTATAATATTTATTTTGTTCAAATTAATTAATGATTATTATTTTTATCAGCTTGATGTAATATGGTCGTGAAAACTGAAGAACAATGTATCTTGTCGAATACATTTTTAGCGTAGCTATTAAACATTTAATTTATTGCTTCAAATTTCATTTAAAAAGCGCACGTATTAAAAATGTAGGTACTTATACAATATAATTTGTATAGGTAATCAGACATCAGATATCTATAGTCTAGTAACGACTTCTTGTTTCGCTTCACTTACATCGATGCAATCAGTATTTCATTACATTTGAAAATACATTTTTAGCAAAGTGTTGTTTACCTAAAATTGTCAAAGTTGTAACTACTAAAAAGTAAAAATCAATGTGCAATAATAGGGTCTATTCACTATTAGTTACCTAACCTTTTTTTGAGTTTATAAACAAAAATTAAATAAAACGACTTTTAATTTTGTAATGAACATGTTGTATAATTAAATTTATTGAATCATTTAAATAAAAATAATGAATGTACATTATTGTGCACGTTTACATCACTTACATTTATTTGTAGGAGATCCAAGATTAAATCAACACTTTGGGCTCACAGCGTATACGACAATGTTTACCCGGTTCCATAATACTGTGACTGAAAAGTTACAAGAAATAAATCCTAAATGGTCTGATGAAAAATTGTATCAAGAAGCTAGAAAGTTTGTTGGCGCACTAAACCAGATAATTGTTTATCGGGACTATCTACCCATTCTACTTGGTATTTATTTTTTTGATATATTCTTAATAATTAAAGATAGAGACAAATCATCGATACCAGAAAATGATTTTGTTTTAATCTCATCTAATTATTTAGTGACTATTGATTATAAAATATTGTAATATTCCCAATGTTCCAATTTGAGATTTTGTTTATTTTAAATTATTTATTCATCAATATTAATAATATGTTTCGTAGGATTTCTTTAACAATGCAGCTTTACATTAGTCAAAAAAAAAAAAAACAACTAATACCAATTAATTAATTAAAAGTAATATAGATATCATAATTGATTTTATAATATACAGATAATCTATCTATTGTTATGCGTAATGAATATTGTGTGTAATTTTTACTTATTGCCATTAAAAATATTAAATGAATATTAATGTTCCATATATATGCACAGGTAAATCATTTACAAAACGCGTTGGCTTAGATATTAGTAAGAGTAGAAGAACACAATACAATCCTGCAATTATGCCACAATTGACCACGGAATTTGCAGGGGGGGCTTTCAGAGTGCCACATAATACACTGCCTTCGACATACGAGTAAACCTTACCTATTTATGGTGAAAGTATATTATAATTTATTATTTTTCTATTAACAGTTACATAAATAAAAATTATGAAGTAGTGGATTCAGTTAAATTTTACCAATGGATGTCGAAACCTGATCCCTTAGTGGTGGGCAATAATTTTGACCAAATAGTCAGAGGCATGACTACATCAGCAAGCCGTTTATTTACACCGTCATTTAACTTTTTTGTATGTACTATTTGTGAATGTTTTCCTTTCACGTAGGTACTGATTAAAAATATAAATTTAGTACCAACTACTATAATATATTAAAATATTAAAATAATTATAATAACCGATATTATAATCAAAAAAATTTATTATTGATAATACAATAATCAGAGCCAGGTTTAGGTTCGACCGATAGAGAAAAAATAATTTATATATTCCATGTATTTAATGTATTTACTATTTTATTGTTATATCATAAAGATTTTAACATGTTATAGATATCAAATTTAATGTTCCACACACATCTCAGTGGTAATGAAGATTTGTTGTCAGTGGATATTCAAAGAGGTCGTGATGTCGGCATACCACCATATACTGTTGTAAGAAAATTATGTGGTTTCCCAGAAGTCAATTCATTTGAAGATTTATTAAACATTATACCAAATTACGTAAGTCGATATTTTTTCTTCTCAAAAATGATGTCGGATTAATCATAATTTATTATGTTGCTAATCACATGAATTACAAAAAATAAAAATTTGGTTCTCATCTAATTGTTTAAGTAAATAGTTTCTATAATTAGATAAAAAAACAACATTATTAAATAACATAATACTGCAGATTAAAACTCCATCCAGAATTTTAATATAAAAAGCTTTTTTTGATATATTTAAATTATTTTAAAACTGGTTATAGGACGTCAAATCACTGAAAGTACAGTACGCTACCGTTTATGATATTGATCTACTAGTGGGAGCTTTACTCGAACCACCTGTCGATGGTGGAACGGTTGGTCCAACTGCACAGTGCATTTTAGCTGATGTATTTTACCGTATTCGATTCGGTGATCGTTTCTTTTTTGATGTCAGAGGTCAACCCGGAAGTTATTCTCTAGGTATGTGCAGATACAATAGTTGTTGGTATTTTCTTTAGGTCTATGGGTTTATGTTATGAACATCAAGAACATTTTTATATCTTGTTTGTACTGTTTGTAGCACAACTGAGAACTTTGAGAAACATTGACCTAGGTCACGTGTTATGTGCCACGACTGAATTGGACGAAGTGCCAATGGATATTTTTAAGACATCAAGGTAAATATTTATTTTTAATTGCATTATGTACTATGTGCCTGTGTAGGTGTACCTACAGCTAGAAATATATTCTAACAGGGTCCTTTTTTGTATCAAGTCTTTTATTGTCGCCCGTATCTTCTTTCCCGTAGCTACATATTAATCATTATTATAACCGTTAAGATATTTTTCAAAGTATAATACCAAAACTGTGTTCTATTTTAAATAACATATTTTATGTTTTCTTTCTTGGACGGAGCGTTATTGTTCCTCGATGGGTTCTGTGTAACTGTGTAAGAGTCACATTTTTTCCGTAAGCAAAGAGTCAATGTAATATTTCATCTTTAAATATTTTTATTATTCGTATTTGATTGTTACCTATACAGACTACATATTTTTAAATATCAGTCAACAAAAACGTTGGGGGTTTTAGGCACATCGAATAGCTTCAAAATCTGTAATAACTTTCGATAGGGTTTCAATCTCCTTGATATACATTGGTAATTTTACTTGGACATGGGATCAGCTGTGTATTTATATTCAGGGTTATTAATTATTTATTTCGTAGCACTTTAATCGTCTTAGGTCCGTATTCACTGTCGATGCTTAAGAATAAGTATTTTGATAATTTAAAAAATAAAAAAATGTGATAAGAACTAAAAACAATGCTTAAGCCTTAAGGTAGGTCTGGACCAACCTTAATTTAAGTAATACTTTTTATTTCTTAAGCCAAAGTCTCGTTTATGAATCTCATTTGAGCCATAAGTATAGCTTAAGCCAGGGGTCACCAATTAATATTTTTGGAGGTCCACATTAGGAATCTGAAAATTTTTCCCGAGCCCATTAAAATTCTAAGTACATATTTTCAACATATAATAAGACAATAGGTATTATTTTAAAATTGGATGTAATGAGAACATTATTTTAATTTATTTATTATTTGTTATTGTTTTTAAACATTATAAAAACATAATTAATATTAAAAACATTTGAAAATTTTTAAATAAAAATTAATTATAAATACAATAAAATAGAAATTTGTTTAGTGAGAAAAATGACAAATCTTGCTCTCAACTAACTGTTTAACATTTGAAAAATTTCACCCAATGACCCAATTAAAGTTTAGATAAGATATGCTTTGCGGCCAATTTATCAACAGTTGTCGGTGAATCGGTGAAAACCAATAATATTTAACAAAAATAATAATTTACAACAATAACACATAGACTATAGATTATAGAATTTTGTCGTATATTTTTTGTCTGCGGGCCAGATAAAATTTGTTCGCCGCCGCCATTTGGTGACCCATGGCTTAAGCAATACTTATTTTTAAGCATCGATTATGAATATGGTCCTAAGAGTTGCTTTAAAAATTGTTCCTTATAATCACACACTACCCTTCATCCCACAAAAAATAATTTGTTAATACTTCACCGATGGTGTAGTATACGTTTATTTATTTACCTAATTTTATCACTAATTTATATAATTATATGTATTAAACCGATTGTTGTATGTTACAGACGTTCACCAATGATGAAATGCAAAAGTAAATTATCAAAATTGGATTTTAGTGCTTGGAGAGAATAATTTGTTAGTTATAGAAATTTGATAATATTATATGCAAGACGTTACTATAAATTATAATGAATAATATTAGGTATATACAAAGATTTGGGTAGTTGACTCAAGTACGTATGGACAGATTATTATTATTATAATACGAATATATCTTATTGTGAAATTATTATTTTATTCTAACTTATAAGAGGACGTTTCACTCGCATTTTTTGTCTCCGTCTTATACATTTACTGTATAGCAAAAACTGTCTTGGGTGGGAAAGAATCGAGAAGGCTACAGTCATAACTAAGAAACGAAATTTTCACCACATATAAAGGAGAACGTTGGCTGTGCAATATCGTTTTTATTTTTTTTTGATATCACTTATACGAAAAAAGTTCTTATTGTTTCAAAATCCATTATTATTTGTGTTTTTTAAACTTTAATAACTTTTTTGAAGTTTCGATAACGAAAAAATAAAAGCGAAATTGCACAGCCAAAGTTCTCCTTTTTATGTGGTGAAAATTTCGTTTCTTAGTTGTGACTTGAGCCATCTCGGTTCTTTTCCGAGCAAAAAACAGTTTTTGCTATGATGTACATTTGTAAAATGGAGAGACACATACGGGTGCAAAGTCCTCTTAATATATTAATTACCTATGTATTGACCTGTATTTATTTATCATGGTTTAATAAAAATAACTGAAATCATAAATCAAATAATTGATGATGTCGTGTTTGGAATAGTACAAATTTAATTGTACCTAGCAAATCTTATAGAAATTAAAAATTAAAAAAAATTAAACCTACAAAGTCACAACAAAAAAAGGTGTAAATTATTTTGTAATTAAAAATGCATACAATTTTTATACTGACAACTGGCAACAACAATTGATATAAAATATCTCATAAGTTGTTTGCTGTAATTAAAAAAAAAGTTTATCATAAAGTGACATATATTTGACTTTCTTTATTTTGAATCAAGTAATTATGGTAATTGAAATGAAAAAAGTCTGGATTTTGAAAACTTTAAGAATTCATGTTAAATAGGATAATAATAAATAATATGTAACTCAATGATTATGAATAGGTGGGTAATTTAGCTGGATTTAATATAAAATATTAATGAGAGAGATTTGATATCACACCCAAGTGGTAAACCACTTGAATCCACAAAAACGTCGGCTTGAACTGTCCTAAAATTTCTATTTTTTAACTTTTCTCCTAAACTATGATATTTAGAAAGTTGGTTAGGTTAGGTTGATAACTCATTTAAAAGGGATTATCAAGATAATACTAAATATGTAATTAAATTTTTTTTTAAATTATTTAATTTTTCACAGATAAAAAAAATAGTTATTTTTTGCTAGATTTTTATTTAACGATATAGATTTCCGAAACTGGAGAACGGATTTTGTTGTTTGGGGTCATGTTAGATTCACATTGGCTAGGAAAAGTGCAGTGAAGATTTTCAGAACTTTATCTCCAATATTGTTAATTCACTACAAAAATGTAAAGCTGAAAAACATCAAAAAACGCCCAATAAAATTTGTTTTAATTTGTTTTAATGTTCTGTAGTGAACTAACTATTAAAGATAAAGTTCTAAAAATCTTCACCGAACTTCTATTAACCTAACCTAACCAATGTGAATCTAACAAGACCGGAGACCCTAAACAACGAAATCCGCTCTCCGGTTTCAGAGATTTATCTTACTAAATGAAAATGATTTTTTGTAGGATACTGTTCACACTGACATTTTTCTGGATTCAAATTGTTATACCGCTTGAGTGTGATATCAATTAATACATTTCTAAAAATTAAAAATCAAGAAAGTTTACATGCCGATTCCTGACTTGGCAAGCGATTTTTATGAGTGATAGAAATTTAATTTTAGACAAAATTGGGTATTCGCACTTTAATTATTATTTCTCTTCAGACGATTTTGGTTATTTTTATTTTTTAAACACATATTTTTGATATTTTATTATTCGACTTCTTTCACCATTCTAGTATTTCTTACATTGTAAAATTTTATGCCATCGTGAGATGCCATTTCCTTTAATTTCGAGTTTGAAGAAGGAGTGTTCATAAATAAGTATTTTTTCACTTTGTAATTTTAGGGAGACATAAATTATTACTATAATATTAACTGAGAAATTAGCAACAAAAAATTGGTCTTTTAAATGCTAATAATTTGATTCAGCTGTATTTGTAGTTCTTGTAGTTCGTATAATATATTAATATATCTATGTCAGGAATTTCAGCCCAAATTTTGGAGGGATTTCTACTAGAATCAATGTATACCTCTAAAATGTAAGTATGTAACCAGTAACCATTTTTCTTAAAAAAAATATTTTTGTTCATTAAACAAAATAAATAAAATGCCATTATTTATAACTGTTTTTGTAAAATTCATTTTCGATACCTATATAGCTAACTAATTGTGTAGTACATACAGACAATATAATGTTATAACCTTAGGCTTAGGGACTTCTAGCTCTAAAAAATATGGGAATATACTTTTACATAAGAACCAAATACCTATGCACTAAAATATGCTCTAAAAATTTTTTTCATTTTACTGAAAAATGTACATAATATAACTTATTTATTAAAATTATTTATTTTTTTAATATTTATTAATGATATTTGCTTAAAAATGTGGTCTGATTGATTTTTGAGTTATTGATCAAACTCAATGCTTGATTGTGGGCCAGAAATACAAAAAATTTCACTCATTTTTTACCTTGAAAATTGCACTGTACTATTTGATATTTTCTTATGTTTTCAAACGTAAATCTATGGCAGTTATATGAAAACAAATTGTTATATTTTAATAAGTTTCGACTAAGACAACAATTTTATAAAATTATAGAATGCGGTCTATACAGACTACAATTAATCTAATTTTTATCATTTTATCAAATCGGTGGTAAGGAGGTAAATGTGTTCCTTATCACATGGAAATACGATATATAAACTATTTTACAATTGTTTAATGTTTAGTGTGTATCATAAATGTCATTTTATAGCACTTGAAACATACATATTGCTAAAATATTATCTAATAAGAAAAAACATTAAAATATTCAAAAATATGCACAATCAAATTTTGGATTTAGATTCTATATAATATGAACATGATTTATATTTGACCCTACTACTTTTGACATAATTCAGAAAAATATATAGGTACACATGCTTGAAGTTCCTAAGCCTAGACTTGTAAGTCATAACACAAAAACTATTACGCTCTATATAGTAATCAGATGGCTGCATACGAATTGCATGTCAAAAAAAAAAATGTCCAAATTGCATGCCGTCTCTTGTAGGGGTTTGTCCGAATTGCGTGCCATCTCTTGGAGGGGTCTGTCCGAATTGCATGCCATCTCTTAGAGGGCTTTGTCCGGATTCCATGCCGTACACCACACGTTTATTTACTTACGTTTATTTACTTAAACAACTTAAACTTTTTTTTGGACTTTCCTAATTTTTAAAAAAAAATGCATGTATAGAAACGCTCTTTTATGTATGATTGTTACAACTGTTTAGTGATTAGTTTCTGGATTGAAATATTTTTATATCCGTGTAAATATTTTCCCAAACAGTATCTATATTGGAGTAATGTAGTGTATTGTGGTCTCGGTCTGTTTCACAACAGATTAATAATATTTTATTATTATGAATTATTATTATATATTATTTTGTTTATTTAAATTGTAATATTGTGTGCCCGAAATGTCAAAAAAACCACCAAATTTAAAAATAATATTATTTAAAATACACTCACTTGATTACCCTAAACTACAATAGTTTTATTTAACTAATGGCCTTTGTTGTCGATGAAAAAAAAATAGTTTTATATTTTTATGATTCTTATTCACAGTGTCACCTTCTACAATATTTATATGTTTTATTGTAATGTAACAAAATCCCGATCCTCCAGTTGAAAAGTAAGTTGTGTATTCGGATATACCTCTCTAAGAGATGGCATGCAATTCGGACAGACCCCTTCAAGAGACGGCATGCAATTCGGACAGACCCCTCCAAGAGACGGCATGCAATTCGGACAGACCCCTCCAAGAGACGGCATGCAATTCGGACGACCCGATTTATATTTATTTTTTTGGCATGCAATTCGGATGCACCGAATCAGATAATTGATTTATCAGGTATCTAGGATTTTGGCACTTTAAGGTTTTGTAAGATACCCTATTCGATTTATTTTTTAGTTATCTGGTTTTGGCGCTTATTTCTTCAATCGGATTTTAGACTAGGTATAGCAATTGTTACTGATCAAATGGTATTTTATATTAACCATTTATTCTTGACTCTTGTAATCTTTGTAATAATAAGTAATTCAAATTATGTAACTTGATAAGTGGAAAACCATATTTATTTTGTAACAACACTTACACGTATATATGTTTTTTGCCTACTTCATTTTTAATAGGCAATTGCTAGTTTTGTTTTTAAACCCAGATACATTAAATTTTAAAACTGAGGTTTCGGATGTTTAATTTATAAGTTTGTCATTAAGCGTTTTAACCAATACTTCAATACATCATTACATGAACAACCATAGCAACAGGTATATTGATAAATCTATTTAGAGCAACTTTTTCAATGATTATAATAAATATTTCATAATATCAGAATAATAATTTTTAATATACTTAAATTAGTTTACGAAATATAACACTTTATGTAGAAGTTGTGCAAGTACTGACCAGGGTGAATTGTTTTGTAAACAGATTATATTTTTGTATTTTGTCAAACTAGGGCAGAAAGATTGATGCATGAATCTGCAGAGAATTTTTTGAAAACAGTTTTAGCCGAAAAAGTTAAACATGAATATGTCAGGAAATACCATAGGTCATTGGTTATTGGCAATGGTTGAAATTGGATATTATCTGTAAGTATTATAATAATACTTTTGAAATTGTTGTATTTTAAAACGGTTTAACAAACGATGGTTACACAATTTTGCTCATTACATTACCTACACGTTTCTTTTTTTCTGTAGGTATC